GACGAGTTTTTTGACCAACTTTGAAGTTTTCGACGTCTTTTTCTAGATTCTGGTAGAACATTCAATCAGAATCTGGGATTGTTTAGAGGAAAGGAGGAGAAAAGAAGGGAAGAGAGAGGAAATGAAAAGGGAAATCTGAAGAAAAATCAAGTTTCAGCCTTATATACCCTCCCCAAAATGACGTCGATTTTGCATTAGTAAACTCACAGGATCCGCACATTTTGCCAAGATCCGACCCAACCTGTAGCGCGCGCGATCCAGCAATCGCTTCTCCACCTAGGTTCAAGTCGAACCGAGCCGTTTTCCTGTCGAACCGCACATCCAAGCTGTCGCTCTTCCTAGAGCCGAGCCGTTTCAAAGTGTTTTCTTTTTTTTTCTTATTTATTATTATTATTTCTTTTATTATTATTATTTATTATATTAGAATTATTTAGTATTCCTTATTTTATTTTATTTTTATTTTTATTTTATTTTTTTAATGATTTTCTTTGCATAAAATTCCAAAAATATATATTTTTGAGGAAAAGTTGAAAGTATCAATTTTTCTTGTACAAAAGCAATGAGTTTTTGAAGAGAAAAGGATTTATATCTAAAGTTGAATCATTATTCTTTTTCTTATTTCTTTTCTTTCTTGTTTCTTGAATTTTCTTTAATATTAAATAATCCGACGATAGAGCCTCTGCAAGTGAAACAATAGTTTCCTTGCATACTTTTGAGGTGAGGGAATTTTTTCAATTTTTCTACTAAAAATATTAAAGTCAATTGAGAATAATTTTCAATAGTTAATCACTTGGTAAATTTTTAAAGCTCATTGGATAGCACAAAATTAAGCTGGTACCATCTTTCGATGGGCATTATGAGGGTGCTATAATCTTCTTCACACGTAACCAAACTCTCAAATCTTGTTCTGGTTAGTAGACCTAAACCTATTCTTTTAGGGACCCTTAAGCTTAGGTGTTCTTTAAAAGGATAGATTCTTTAGGTGGTCAATCGTACCTAGATAAAAAAGATTGGTGGTGACTCCTTAAGTCAATATCTAACGATAGATCTCCGAATCTAAATATTATGACATTAATGTTGCCAAGAAGTATGATATTGTAGTTGGTAACACTCTTGTAAGTTTACTTTTTTACATAGTTACAGATTACTTTATTCTTTAATCTTATATTTTGTGTCAGTTTAATCATATGTGAACTTCAGTAAGTCCACACGTTTAGTTATATGATCATAGCAATGGATTTTAATATTAAAATAACAAATGAATTGCAATGATTTGGTTCAATTATCTGACAAGTCTTATTGTGTGGAAAATGGTGACAACTAACAAAGTAGGTTTCGTAATTTTAGCATAGAAATGTTAAGCTAATGGTAATGTTGAATTGGTTTATGGGGTACCCATAGAAACAACAATAGAACCAGTCGTTTCTCTATCTTTTGCAACCACTACAATAATCGTTGAAGCAAATGAGTTCATAAAGGCAGGCTTATATGATGGATGCCTTTCTAATCTATATGTCCACCAAATATACCCTATTTTTCACTTTTAATGAACACAGATAATAAACTCAAAATGTCAAGTACATCACAATCGTGCAATTCCACTTTTTTTCTCTTACAAGTTTGTAGGAAACTTGCTTTAAGGATAGAAAATTGGTGTATCTGCCTACGCTAGAATGATGGTAAATTTCTTATTAATTGAATTGCCCATCAAATTTTCATAAATCTAGACTATAATTTAGATAATTCATTTAAACTTATTTGATTGTTTGGATTTGTAAGTTAGATATAAAACAGTTCAAACATACACTAAGTTAGATAATTCATTTGAACTTTTTTTTATTTTGCCAAGATTTTTTAACAAATAATAAGTATAATTTCATTCTCTTAGTAATTTGAGGAATGACTTTTATTCCATGGATTAAAGTTTAGGGACAGATTTTTTATATTGTTAATGATATTTTTTTAAGTTTGTAATTTGAGGCATTAGGCAATAGTACTTCGCATCAATCATTGACGTACTACAAAATTGATAGGTGATGAACTGATGATCCTTGGTTCAAAATTGTAGTTTTGTCAAGGAGAATTTCATATTTACTATGACATACAATAGGTTAAATTTGCATTTTCAGTTTTTATTCCTTTTATTTTCATTTTTGAGTTAAGAAATTAGATAATAAGTTTAATGAGTGAATTTGAAATTTTTTTTAATTTGGATTGGAGCTTAGCAAAATTTTAAAACTTGAAATTTCGGACTGAACTGAACTTAAACAAACATATAAACTATTAATATTAAATATGAGTTCGACCCGAACCTAACCTAATCCGACTTGTGAACACCACTAATTTAAGTCGTACTTCTTCAAAATAAAAAATAATAATGACATTTCTTGTATAAAAAATAAAGTGAACTTAAATAATATTTATTAATAGTCTATCACGTTTAGGTTGCATTCATTTATGAATGAATAAAGGTTTGTGAAATATGATTGCTTAGAGATGGTCTAACTTACAAACGGAAATGTAAAGATGTGAAAAGAGTGGAACCATCTATCTACCCACTTGCATGACTTTATTGCACCAAATTTTGTTCAAACTATTGATTTTGGTTCCACTATTATATTAATTTGAAAAAAACCACAATTTTGAACAATAATCTATAGTAAAAAAAATGTTAAAACGTTAATTCCTGCATCATATAACATGTAGTAATTAAGAATTTATTTAACATCTTACGTTTAATATTTTATTGATAATTAATCCAAAAAATACAAGGTTTATCATTTTATGAATGCACAATTATAATATATTTACTAGTGAAGAGAGAAGGTTAACTAAATTGTTAAGAAAATAAAATTAATTTTTAACAATGCAAATTGAAAAAACTAAGAATAAAATTAATAAAATAAGTCCAATAGCAACAAATAATATGATACAAAAGACACTAATGGAATATTCAAGAATTTGTAGTAGCTTTTCTTTTCCAAAGAATTTTTAGTAGTCTTGTTCACATAATTTGAATTTATGTCTACTACTTGAATTTTTAAATTAAGCATTTTCAAACCAATTTAGTATCATTTCCGTTTTGTGTTTTATATTTTCATTTTCACTTTTATTGAAAACTAAAAATACAAAGGAATTAGATAGGTTATTTTTATTTTACAAAAAAAAATAAAATTTTAGACATAGTTGAAAATACAAAAAATGATGTTTCAAAATTTTGGAAATATTTTTAATACTATTATTAGGATGGCAAATACACACTTGTAACCAACAAGTTTCAACGCCACCAAATTGCTTAGGTTCGGTTTCTTTTAATCGAGTTTCGAGTGGGTAACAATAAAAAAAAAATTTGAAATCAGGTCGAGGTCGAGTTTTAAGTAAATTTGCCTTAATTAGACTCGATATATATTTATAAAAAATTATTTTTAATTATTTATTTAAGTTTATATTTATATATTTATTTATATTTATATTTATATTTATATTTATATTTAAAAAATAATATATTATTAATTTCAGATCGAATTAAATCGAATATAATTTTATACAATATAAAATTTGATCGAATTCGAATATAAAATAATTTTAAAAAATTAAATTGGATCGAGTTCGAGATGAGCTCGTTGCCATCCCTAACTGTTATCTCAAAGATACTATTCATATGCTCAACTACAATTTGAAATTTAATATTTAAAAATCAAAAAATTTATTATTGAAAGGTTAAAAACCCTTGCCATTTTATAATTCAAAATTTTAATCATTTTTTATATGTTTTTATTTTTAAATTTTTGCAACAAAACATTCTATTTAAACATATTTTAAATTTAATAAATTAAAAATAAAATAAAAATAAAACAAAATAAAATAAAATAAAATGCAATAAAATAAAATATTCAAAAACATAAAATAAAACATAAAAACGATACCAAATGATCTCTAATATTTTCAAGGAATAATCAAAAGCAAAAATGATCATAAACCAGATTGAATCAGTTAACAACTTAAATTTATTTAAAATATGTTTATTTGAAATTTATTATTAAAATATTAAAAATATAATTCTTTAAATTTAATTAAAAGTAAAATTAAATAAATAATTTTAAATAATAAAATAATCTCATGGGGCAGGTCAAACCAAGATTTGAAAAACTTTACGTGAAGCCCAATCCCAATCTGTAACCAAGTCTAATCACAACCTTTATACCAGCTAGATTTATAAAGGCTATAGTATAGCTTAACCAAAAGTTTCACTCAACACTTTTTTTTACTATATAACTTCACAAAAACTTTAATTTCCCAAAAATAAATAAATAAACCATTTATATATCACTTACAAAGAAAAGTTTGAAAAAAAAATTATCCAATCAAATGAACATATAAATTAAATCTAGAAAAATTATCTTATACATTACAAAAAATAATAATAATTTCATAAGAAGAATTAAAGAATTACCACTTGTCTTAGTCCACGTTAATTAAAAATTAAAAAATTTTTGAATAAAGATTTAATAATTATTTAAAATTTTGATATTTTATTACTATCAATTAAATTTTTAATCTTTTATTTTAATTTAATTAAATCTTTAATTTGATGAAATCTAATTACATGACAAAATTAAATTAATTAATTTTTGAATTATAATTAATTAAACCTTTAGAGGATTTTAAAAAGCGAGAAAAAGAGAAAATAGAGAAGAAAATGAAAAAAATATATATTTTTTTAATTTTCATGTATATGAATTGTGATACGAGATAAATTTTTATTTATTTTGTTAATTACATATGAAATTTTATTTTAGTTAATAAAAAAATTAAAGGTGTAAAATTTTTTATCTAAATAAGAGTTTAATTGAATATTAATAAATATTAAAGAAATTGATTGATTTTAATTAAAAATAAAAGCTGGAATAATTATTGAATTATAATTAAGTAGTTTTTTTATACCTTATAAAAAAATTTAAAAAAAAAAAAAGACATGTATACCTGGCCCAGAGCTGCAGCATAAAACTCCACCGGAAGAGAGGAGAAGAGAGATGAAAAGAGAAGGCCGGCTTTTGCTGCATAAAACTCTCTTCACGTCTCTTCTTTGCGTCTTTATCTTTGCCGCACACTGACTCCTTCAATTCTTACCTGTTAATTTTCATTTCCCTTTTTATTCCAAACCAAATCTTTTCCCTGACAACCCTTTCCACACATGCTTGTTTTTTGCATTTTGGGTTTCTTCTCTGCCCATTTTGTCTCTTTTTTTATGACCCCTTAAATGCTATGTTCTTTGCTTTTCACTTCATTATTTGAATGTAGTTTCTAATGTTTTCGATGGTTATTTTCTGACAATAATAAATCCCACAATCTTCTTTTTTTTTTCTCTGTTTTAATCTTCCTGTTTTGCATGATTTCTTGTTGTTTGCTTTGAAAATTTTCCAAGAAATGGCTGTAGAACTTTGCTCAGAGAATTCTGGTACGAGTCCAAGGATTTCATTTTCTCATGATCTTTGTCATTTTGATGTTGTGCCTGTCGAGCAACGCCCTCTTAGATCAAAATCTTCAGGCTTGGATTCAAGCATTGATTTCGACTTCTGTGTTCGTGAAAGCTTTGAACAAGAATCATCATCTGCTGATGAGCTTTTCTCTGATGGGAAAATCCTTCCTACTAAGATCAAGAAAAAAGATGTCCCTTCTAAACAGACTGATCAATCTTTACCCCCACAGCCATTGCCACGATCAAATTCTGTTCATGAGGAAGCCAATAATGTTACTGACAATTCGAAGAAAGAAAGCTGGAAAGAGAACAAGATTACGCGGGATGAAACAGTTGATGAAGTTGATGAGAAGCAAAATTCCAAGTCATTTTGGCGTTTCAAAAGGAGTAGCAGCTTGAATTGTGGAAGTGGATATGGGCGAAGCTTATGTCCTTTGCTACTTTTATCAAGAAGCTATTCAACTGGCTCTACACCAAATGTCAAACAAGCTTCGATTTCGAAAGATTCCCATAACCATAAGCAGAATTCACATAAACATGCTAACTCTTCCTCTTATAAGTCTTCAACAAGTTATCAGAAACCTCCATTGAGGAAGAGTTATAAGCCTTACGGTAATGTTGTTCGAGTTAATCCTGTTCTCAATGTTCCTTCTGGGAATCTGTTTGGTTTAGGTTCAATCTTCTTCAATGGCAAAGATAAGAATCACAAGAAGAAATGATTGATAATTCACTCTCCAATCATAATTTCCTTTTTCCAACCTGAAGATTTGTTGGATTTGTTCCTTTTTTTTTTTTCTTTTTTACTATTTTCATTTCTGTTCAATGACATACCAACTGATCAAAATATCAGTCGACAGCAAAGAGATTGGTCTTAAGAAGACAAAAGAAGATAGAATTGTCAATGGATGGAGGGCCTCAGGAAGGAAAGATATAATTCATGGCGAAATGATACGTAACCACTGCTCTCATGGTTGTCACATGCTGTTTTTAGAGTGTTCTCATTCACTTCTTCCTGGTATTTTCTCAAGCATGATTCTCAGGCCTAATGTTCTTTCTCTTTATAGGAAGTATGTATAATTTTGTGGGTGACTGGAATCCTGGAATGTTTCTCAATTTTTCTTGGAGAAAAAATTTATTCGGTTGGTGTCTGATTGTTCTTGTTTGGATTGCGAGATTGTGACAAACTAGTAGTTGTAATTAATGAAATTCATCAAGATTCCATAGTTTTTAACGTCAAACCCTTATTTACTTTTATGCTTGCTTTCAAATAGGATGGATCTACTCTTTTACCATAGTTTTCATGATATGCAGATTTAAATACTTAATCAAGATAGTAGAGAGTTATGAGGGAGATTAACTGCTCTCAGAGATAATGTGAAGAATGGTCAAAAGCAAGAACGATGCTATGAATTGTACTATAGTAGTATTTTTCTTATTCTTCCAGATTCTAGCTCATAGATGATTTATGCACTATTGATTTCATTAATTTTTTTTTTTTTGGCCTTTTTTATTTCATTAGTGTTTAATGGCTTTGAAATGGGCTGTTTGTCAAGCAAATTTTCAGCATAATATTGCATCATTATTGCATGAGGAATAAGAGTTTATTAGTTGATGCGTTCAGTGTATACACTTTGTATTCTATCCATAAATCATATGATACCAATGAAAAATTATTTTAAAAAATTAAATTTTTATGTATTTATTTTAAAAACTTGTAAAATTTTATATTTATTTACTAATAAAGTAACATTATATACGGTTCACTATCAGTGTGTCAAATATAAATTGTGAAAAAACTCAAAATTTAATTCACTTAATTCATACAATCATCTTTAAAAGATGACATCTAACGTATCTAATATTTAAATTTTAATATCTGTAATTACTTCTCCTATCCTCGGATTGAACCTCTTTTGTAAAAAATTATATATAGACTCTTAGGAATAATTACAGTTTTGGTTATAAGTCAAATGGATAATGTTTACATGTGGATTTCTTTGAAAGTTATCTTGTAATGTTAGCTTTTTCAAACATAAATAGTTCTGTTTTAATTTATCAGTTCATCTATCTGGTCACATGAAAATTTTAAAACAGCAATATTAGGCATTGGTTTTGGCAAATCAAATCATTGATCAATGTTTGGTTCTCTGGAAACTTTTTGTCACAATCTGTGTTCTGTAAATTTTTGTTTCAGCTTTCAAGTTCTAAGAAAACCAAAAGACATAATGAAAGGTACACCCAAGCTTGCCTTTGGTTAGGTGGCATTACTTTTGATTGGCCTTTGTCACCTTATGATACAATAATTGATAAGCTTATGTCAGTTTCATTAAAAATTATAATAAATATTTAAGTATTTCTAACTTGGGTGATGAGAGATCAGCAAAATTTGAAGCTTGATTGAATTCTAAACTGACTAACTTGATGGTCCCCTTGTTTGTTTGGTGAGAAAATAAAACTTTCCCAACTAAACTGCACTAACTAATTGACAATGCTTCAGGAAGGAGGTAAGCGTACTGCTCTTTCAACATATTCTTGATGCAATTTTCCCATGGAGACAAGGGATATCAATTGCTGTTGAAAATAACAAATATACTTTGATCACAAAAGTTGTGTTGGTGAATGCTTGAACCTCAGCCACCAATCATTTAAGAAAGTGTTACTTAGAACTCATTGTTCAGCCATAATTAGACTTTCAAAACTTGGAAAGATTTAACCGTTGTAACTCCAATCTCGTCACACTAATTTTAATTTCGCTTTTATTACTGTTTTTAATTTCATGCCAATCTCATCACTACATAGCTTGAAACATAATTGGCTAAGGGAGGAGGAACCATGTTGTTATATACAAAATAATAGGCCAAAAGCCCAAAAGTTGATGGAATGGGAACATGTAAAATCAAGACTTTTTAAGTATTTTAACCTTTGGGATCGCAACATGCAAGTGTCATCTACCAGCTCTAGCTGTAGGTATCTGCCTTTTCTTGTTGTAGTATTAACTACTATTTTCAGCAACACAAGCATCAATACCTAGAGCTGAAAATGCCTAGTCCCATGGTTTTTTTTTTTAAAAGGAGTTTAAAATAGTGAAAGTGAAGTTTATGCTATATATCATGCTATTCAAAATTCACATGAAAATTAGGGAAAGAAAAAAAAAAGCCAAAAAAGGGTTGTTTTAATTTTTCTTTTTCTTAAAAAAAAAAAAAAACAAGATCATAATTTAAAATTAAGAGAAGAGAAATTTTTTAAATTTGTTGAATATTATTTTTTAAAAAAATTATTATATGAATTAATTAAATTAAATTATAAATTTCATGATTATTTTAATTTGATATCAAATCTTTTATAAGATCTTAACGGCCGAACTACAAAATGAAAATCGACATTTTTGTGGTCAATGTACTAACAAAATTCAGTACTACCAAATTCTTAATTTCCTTCCTATTACTGTTAAATTCTTCGCTCCACATAAACAAAATCTGACATCAACATCCTTAGCCGACAAAAATCTTTGATTTGCCATGGAGATTTGTGATAGGAAGTATCATTTAAACTAGATTAGAAACCTTATTAGCCTTGTAATTCAATTATGCATAGTATCAAAAAATCAACATTAAAATTTGGAATGCACATGAAAATATAATCATGTTCGGACCGGAATTCAAATTATAGCACGAACTTTTCCACATATGATAATGACATTGCAAAAAGTGTTAATCCCTACCAATAAGATCGGTGATTAATGGAATTCAATTCATTCAGACAAGGACTACAAGCCCTTTTCGTTGCCACAGTAACCACAAATTAAGAGATTAGTCTAGAAATCAAAGAGAAGAAATGACTTGAGAGACACTAATAAAACGTTTGATCGGACATATTTAGAAAGAGAGGATGAAAAGAAAAAACAAAGACAAGAGATGAGAATTGGATCTTTGTTAACAAACAAATTATGGAGGGACTTTGATTGCCACAATAATGTAACACTAAAAGTTTATAGACCAAATTGACAAAAATTAAATTTAAGAGATACATATATTTATGAGAAATTATTTGATATTTCTTTAATTTTACAAGAGAAATTAAGACACGGATACATACCACATTTTTTATTAATTTTTTTAATATATCTTAAAAATATATATTGTCTTACTAACTTCGTATTTTAAATCTAAAAGTTTTACTTGGAAATGTATTTGATAATTTCACTATATTTATTTATATAGGTAAAACGTATTTCAATCTTAAAGGGATGACCAGCATGCTTCACCCAAATTAACATTTAAAGAGATTTTGATATTACACATTATTATCAAAACCAATGTCAAGGTAGGAGTTGGCACACAAAATGGACCATCTTCAGATCTGGGTTCCAGGTTGGCAAAAGTGATGATTTGGGTTGGGTAGTGGTCAGGTTTGTAAAGGGCTAATGAGAGAGGATGGATTCATCTGAGTTAGGTTAGAGAGGGAAAGGTTTTTCCTTTTTTTACTTGAATTTGGTATACAACTCTTTTGAAGCCAAGATTCATAATATCATACCGATAATATTTTAATTTTTTAAAAAAATATGTATATATCTGTATTAGTGATTTTGATATATTATTTCGAATTTTTCAATTTAGTATAAATATATTTATAAATATATATAAATTTGTATATTATAATGCTATTAATAATCTACAAAATAAATATACAATATCTTCAAAAATAAAATAAGTAAGTTTAAAAGTTTAGAAATAATATCATAAATTTTTTATGATATTTTTAAACACTTAATCTGATTATATGATATTTAAATAAGTATTTGTTATACAAATATTAAGATAAAAACAATGAGATAAAAAAAATTAACCTTTGGCTTCATGGTTATTAAACTTTAAAAAGGGAGAGAAATTATTTTATTGAAAGAGATTAAAATACTTATGAACTTTGGTTTAAAAAAATAAAATATAAAAAAACAAGTTACAATTAAAATTAGAGAAACTCAATTTTTAAGGATTAGTTTGTCAATTAATTTTATTTTTATTAGATTAAAAATAGTTAAATAACAAAAGAACAAATTAAAAATTACAAAATGTTTCATATTTATGTACTAGCCAAAATAAACTAATCCATCGAAATTTATCGAAACCAACAAAAATCAAAGAAAACAATCGATATTATTCGATACCAAATACGATACAAAAAAATCCTTAAATATATTATATTTTGGTATAATTGAAGTGTATTGGCTTGTACAGTCAATATCAAAATAAAGTAACAAATATGTTTGAAACTTTGTGTATAGTTGTTTTGGTTTTAATAAAATAAAAAAATATATAAAAATAAATTATGATGGTCTAATTGGATAACAAATGCCAAGTAATTAGCCCATCTATTAAGACAGATAATTGTTACAGTGAAATTAGTAATTCATATTTTTATATTGTATAAAATATTAAATTTTATTTATTTATGTTATGTTTATATAAAATTTATGTATCACAATTCATGATACAAAAATATAAAATATATTTTTTAATTTTATTAAACTAATATAATTATTATTAAAATTTTAAACTACATTATTTTTTATATTTTTTATATCATATTCGTATTATATCATTATATTATATTTTAAATAATAGAATTTGCCTACAGTAAAAATTAAAAGTCACTTTTAATATTAAGTATGCAGATATATAAAGTTATTCAATGAAGAGAGACATTTTAATGCAAGCAGAAGAAGTCATGTTATATAAAAATATTTTAAAAATAATTTAAAAACCAAGAGGAAAAATCAAGAGTAACAAAGTAAAAATAATAATAATAATAATAAGATAAGCCCAAAATAGCCAGCCCAAAAATCAAACTTAGGACGTTGGGATCTGTTCTGAAATATCTTAAGAGAGAGGGACTTGTTAATGGGCCTATCCGTTTTGAAGAAATTTGTCATTTATGCTAACAATGAATAAACCCTATTTCAATATTAATTTGGTTAAAATATTTAAAAAATCTCTAAACTATTTATTGTTTAAATAAAATTTTATATTTTTATTGTATTCAACTAAGTTCCTTTTTTTTTTTAATTTGTATTCAAATAAATACTTCTTTCAAATAAAAATTAATTTATATTAAGACTTATTTAGTTAAAAATTAAAATTAAAAGATTATTTGGATACAAATTTAAACATTAATGGTTTATTTTTATGTAAATTAAAAATTAAAAATTAATTTAAATCCAACAAAAGTATAAGTGTTTATTTAAATTAAATATTAAAGTTTAGGAACTATTTTATTATTTTTGTCATTTAATTAAAAGGAATAAAAATTACTTTAATATTATGATGATATTAAAGGTTTTTGTATCAAACATATTTTAATTTATTGTTTCTATCTAACTTAAAATTCATTGCAACAGAAGTATGTCATGGTAAAAATCTATTTGGGGAAAGAATATTTTTAATTTTTGAACAATGTGACTAGCGAAAAAAAATTTTTTTCTTAATATTATAAATTTTATTTTGGTATTAAACATCTATATAGAAATAGTGATGCAACCCTGGCTTTTGATATAATATACTTTTTAATATAAGAAATTATCAAATACATTGATAGTAGAATTTTTTAACTTCATAAACAAGATTAAAATAATAACATATATCCTTTTTATATTTAAAATAATATTTAAAAAAGAAGTGGCGCATATCTCATTATTTTAACTTCGTTTATGAAATTAAAAAACTTAATTATCAGTGTATTAAATAATATTACTAATTAAGAAAATATTTCTATGTAATTTATAATCACATCCATAACCTAAATTTAACTCATCTAGGTGAAGTGAGCTCCATTTAAGTAATTATTTTTTAAATATAATAAAGATTTAAGAGAATTTTTTTATGTGAAATTTATGAAATGATCATAAAAAATAAATTAAAATTGATAACTAAAATTTAATTAGTAGATTAATAATATGTAAATGATGAATTAAAATAGTATGTATATGTAAATTTTACGCAATAATTATCGAATATAAAATTTTTGTTATAAATTTTTATTAAAATATCTATTTAAATAAAATACTATGTTTAAATTAAGGAATTTTTTAGTCAGTTTTGATTATTAGTTTTAAATTTTTATCTACCATTTTTAATAAAGAATTCTATAAACCTGCATTTAAGAAAACTCCACCTAAAAGTTGCTATTTTACATTAATATCAAAATTAAACCAACAATTGATTATGAATATATTTTTAATAGGATTGATTATATTAATTGAAATACTATGAGTAATGATTCTTATGATGATATTTAAAATTTTGAAAAAGCTATATTCAATCATCTATTACAGTTATTACTGTATAAGTTTTCAAAATTTTATTATAATCTATAAGAAATTTAATATTTTTTTTAATTTTTAAAATAAAAAATAAAATATGTGAAATAAATATATAAAATGAATGCATATAGCATCATCTAATGTAGTTAATATGTTAACTAATGTACGAATGGTTAAAGAATTCGATTTTTTTAAAATAAGATTTTAATTTTGAATTTTATAAATAAAAAAAATAAATGTAAAGAGAATTTATCTTTTTATGACTTTAAATTAATCGAATTTTGTAAATAAAAAAAAATAAACGGTGAGAGTGTTTATCTTTTTATGACTTCAAATTAATTAAAATTTAAAGTGATTATTAGACACTAAAAATTTAAAAAAAATGATTTTGAAATTATCAAAGGAGCAATCACAATCAAAACCAAACTAAACCAAAAACCAATCAAAGAAATTGACTACTTTTAGTCAACAAAAGACCAAGTCCGTTCACATTTCTCCATAACGAAGCTCTTAAAAGCAACAAATCTAGATTTTTTTAAAGCTAATTTTAGGGATCTTCAATTTCAACCTTCCAAATAAGGATATTTATTACCAAGACTTTTTTAAGGGTTAGTCCAAACCTTCTAGAAATAACAATTTTTCCAAGTTCCTCTTTTCCTATGTTTTCTATCTTCCATGCAACTTCCTTCTCTTCTTTTATTGTGGGTAATTTTATTTTGATTTTGATTTTGATTTCCATTCAAAGACGTTTCAGTTCAGATTTCTCTTGCCAAAAAAGCAATGGCTGTTGAATTATGTGCGGCACAAACCATTCCAAGAATCTCATTTTCTCATGATTTCTGTTCATCAATGCAACAGTGCTGCCTTCCTCTCCTATCAGCTTCCATGCCATTGAATTCAAGCTGTGATTTCGAGTTCGATGTTCGGATTAATAATTTTGATCAAGAATGTTATTATTCATCAGCAGATGAGCTTTTCTCCAATGGTAAAATCCTTCCTCTTCAAATCAAGGAAAGCATCTCCCCATCTAAACAAGAGCAAAAGCCATCACTCACAATACCTCAAGCTACAAATGCTAGCTCAAAGGATCAGAATCAAAGTTCCAAGTCATTCTGGCAGTTCAAAAGAAGCAGTAGTTTGAATTTTATTAGCGGATACAAACGAAGATTTTGTTCCTCTTCAACACTTTTATCAAGAAGTAGTTCAACAGGGTCAGCTCCGAAGGTGAAACCAGGGTCAGTCTTGAAAGATGGTCGTGGCATTGGTAATCTCAAGCAGAACTATCCGAAGGAGAAGTCTTTGCCATGTCTACAGTCTTCAACAAGTAAACATAAGCCTCCATTGAAGAAGAGCTATACTTATGGATCCCACGGCAATGGTGTTACAATTAATCCTATTCTCCATGTTCCTTTGGTGGATGTCTTTTGTCTGAGTTCAGTCTTCTTAACTGGCAAGGGTAAGAAGTAATTAATCAATACATTACTTTTTTTATGAAATTCAAAACTAGGGTTTTTCATTTCTTTGTTTTTGGATAGATTCAAGCTTAGGAGACAGGGGTGGCAGAGACGTAAGAAAAATGTTGCCATTGCCACAGGCTTCTAAGCACAAAATGCTAACGTCCATAACTCCATTGCTGTAATGCTGTTCCATTTTGTACTGTTTTTTTCAGCTTTTAATCTGCCATGGGCTGGCCCATGTTGTACATATTTTTTCTGTTACCCAATCGCTGCTTTTTGTATTCACATGGTGTAAGTCATAATTGTGCCTATAATTGAACAAGAGTCAATGCTTCAATTGCTATGGTGATAAATGTTCAATAATAACAAATTATTAATTAATGGGTAAAACTTGGGAAGAATTTCTGATGTAAAGTTCATAATATTCTCGATTAAAAAAATGAAAATTACAACTAATAAATTGATATATAAATCAATAATATATGCAAAGAATCAAATGAAAATAGATGCGTTCAAACACACCCAGGACAAAAAAAAAAAAAGAAAAAAAGAAACCTAGCCCAATTGAAAGCAATAGAATTTTGCAATTTGCATTGTTCAAAAAGTCAGAAAAGACTGTCAGACCAATATTTTCTGGTCATGAAAATAAAGTTAAAATCATTTGTAAAGTATAAATGAAATATTGAATATTTTATTATAATTTTTTAATTTTATTAATTTTTATGTTAAAGTAATATAATTCTCAAAATATTTTAATATTTTTGTTTTTTATGAAAAATCAAAAAATTAATAATAAATCACCAAAATTCAATAAAATTAAAATACGATGGTAAGATTCAATACAATGTTTTAATATAGTGATAAATCTTATCTTAATCTCAAATTGGAAATGCCTCTTCTTTTATCATTAAAACATAATCTATTAATTGGTTTGTTGATTTAACATAGAATCAATTTATTAATTTAATCAAATTTAATCGAATTATATTTTTTAAAATTTTTATATATTTTTTAATTTTTCATAAATTAAAAATAATTATTTTTATCAAAATATATTGAAATATATTAAAAATTTATCTTAAAATAATATATAAAAAATTTAAAAATTGATAAATTAAATTTGATTTAGTATGAATCAAATCGAATGAAACATTAATTTGAATTTGAATTAAATTTTAAAAATTTATAATTTATATAATATAAAAAAATTAAATAAAATTTGATTTAATTCAAATTATTATTATTTTATTTATTCTTTTTAATTTTTTTCATTTAAAAACTTATCTTGTTGTCACGTGTGCAATTTATTATTATTACAACAATTTTAAGTTTTTTTTTTTAAATAAAAAATAAAAAACAAAGTCCTAAGCTAAAGCTGCCCCTAAGGACAGCCGAGCGGAAGATACGGAGACAAAGAGACGTAGACTTGAGGGATGAGACAACCTGTCCCCTCTGTTTGTTTTCTCGTTGGTCTCTGCTTACATTTACTTTTTTTTTTTTTTAATAAAAATTGAAAATTTCCAATGTAATTTTTTAAATCTAATTTAAAATGTGGTTTTTTTTTTTTTTTTTTAAAGAATCATGTGAAAGCTGGATACTGGGAGACTCCCGTGACAGGAATCCTGGTTTTTTTCTTACTACTAAAACCTTTTCTGGTATTATTATTATTTTTTTAATTTAAATTAGAAGAAACGTCAATATAAATATAACTAATTTTTTTATACCGTGAGATAAATGAGATTTTTTTATTATATCTCTTTTAATCTTATATTGTTTTTAATTCACATTAATTTTTATTTAATTTACACCAATTTTTATATTCTTTTTAATATAATATAAAAATTAGTATGAATTAAAAATACCTATTTCTTATCATTTCCCTTGTTCATTGTAATAATCTAGAAAAAAATGCATAATTTTATGTTAAAAATTTCGTTAGTAAATAAATCAACATATATTTAAATTATATTTAGATTATATTGTAGTTTGACTATTTTAATTTGAAAGATGGATATGGAATGATAAATATGAAATAAAGAGAAAATAGATTTACATCTTATAATTCTTTTTTATTTTTTTGTCAATTAGTTATATTCAGGTTAAAATAATAAAAAAATTTTAAATTTTATTACTTATTTAAATAATTTTTTATACTTTTATTGTAGTTAAATTAAATATTAAGTTTTAATTTGTATTTAAATAAACCCATAACCTTTAATTTATACCTAAATAGGTCATTAATAGAAATCAAATTTTCTTTTAAAATAAGAGTTTGTTTGAATACAATTGGTCAAATTATGCTAATATTCTTTGTAATCAAAATTTAAAATGTAATCTCTTTATAATAATTAATAAAGATTTAGTTCTCATATTATTTTTATTTGATAATTTTAATCTAATTATTAATTTCGTCAAATTTTTATTGTTAAAAATTTTGATGTGACCGTTAATTTTATTGATAAGGCATTGATTTTATTAATGTGGTATTGACTTTTAATGACAAAAATATGACTGAGTTAGTGATTGAACTAAAATTATTAAATTAAAATATAATGAAAATTATATTATTATGATTTATAATAAAGGGATTAAATTTTAAACTTTGATAGAGGATAGGAATTATTAGCATAATTTGACCAATACAATTCAAAATATAATGATTTATTAAGATATAACAAACATGTAGGAATTTATTTTTAAAAAATGGTAAAATAGTTAATAATTTTTTAATATTTTAACCTTATATTCATTGTTGAAAACCTAAATATACGTATAACAATTCGTCTTATTGTATCGTGTAAATTATTATATTTGTATCGTATTTTACATAAAATTATGTGTCTTAATTTATGTTAATATAAAAATATAAAATATATTTTTTTATTTTATTAAATCTATTTATAATTTTTTTAAAATTTTAAATTATATTATTTTTATATTTTTTATTTATATTATTTTCGTATTATATCATTGTATCATATTTTAAAGTGTCTTATCTACCTAAACGGAATTAATTAGTTTTTTATATAAACCTAAAAAAGTAGGCACAATTGAATGAGGAATTATATAAACATAAAAGGCAAACATCTTTAATTATGTGAACCTAATTTTTTTCATCAAAATTTAGTATTTTTGGTTAGACCAGAAAATGCGGCTGTATCGAAGAGGAATTAAAAACCTATATCTTTATTAATAGTAGTTGAATAAATAAAGGAATATATAAAATGCAAATAACAGTTTTTTTTAGTTAATGACAAAAATATAATTGAAAAATGGGTAACTGTTTAATTGGCCCCTAAACTTTGAAAATGAGTAGTATGATACTTAACTAATAAATGTTCACAAATTTAATAACTAATACTGTTAGTCTTTCATCCAATAGAAACATGATCTGTGTAATGTGACATATAAGATTAATTTATTATTCATGAAATAAAAATCATGCTAGTTTACACTTAGTATATCATCAGATAAAAAAAATTGGATATAATTATCTTATTAAAAAATTATGAATTTTAAAAATAATATTTAACCAAAAAAAAAAGTAAAACCCTTAAAGAAAGAAAAAAATTATTTTAATCCTTCTCTTTCTTATGATAAAAAACGACTATTATTTGTAGAGGGAAAATAAAAATATATAAAATATATATATATTCTGATAAAACACTAGTAAATATAAATTAAATGATATTAACAATTACTTCAATTGCACAACTCACATCCTACGTTCAAGATAACTTGTAAAATGATGTCTACGTGGACTGACAATATATTATTTAGGCCAAAAAAGGTTTAATGGGCAAATATACTCTCAAACTTTTGTATAAAATGAATATAAGCACTCTATTTTTCAATATATTTCTAAACTTTTAAAAATTTTTATTTCTAAAAAAAGTAAAAATTAATAAAAATAAAAATAAAAAGAAGAAATCAAGAGAGAGATTAAAATTATTTCATATATTAAGAAATCTAAATTTTTGGTAAAATTTTATTTTTAAAAAAATCAACAAATATTTTTCTTAAAATTTTTATTTTTGAAATTAAAAAATTACAATTTTGGAAAATAAAAAACTGAAAAATATTTGTATTAAAAAATTTAAAATATTTGTTGATTTTTTTTTCAATCATAAAATTTAAACATAAAACATAGATTTTATATTAAAATTTTACTTTTGAAAAAATATCAACAAATATTTTTTTCTTAAATTTTTTTATTTTTGAAAATTAGAAAAAAATTTGGAAAATAAAAAGCTAAAAATTCAAAATTTAAAAGATTTTGAATATTTTTAAAATTTTAAGAAACTAAAAAAATTGTTAATAAAAATATATGTTGATATTTTTCAAAAATAAAATTTATCACAAAATTTACAATTTTTAATTTATGAAAAATTTTTAATCTCTTTTAAAATTTTTTTATTATACTTTTTGATTTTTTGTCAAAAATAAAAAAGTTTCAAAAAATTTTGAAGATACAATAAAAGGTTGAGAGTTTCTATCTATTTTGTACAAGAGGTTAAGGATGATATTTGCGTATTAAATACATACATAATTAGATTTAAAATACATAATTTTGAAACTTTGTGGCTTTATTTATAGCAAAATAAAATATTATAAATTTATTTACATGCAATAAAAAATCGATGATTTATATTCATTTTATACAAAAGATTGATGATATTTTTGGATATTAAACTTTTTTTTATTGTTCTTATATTGGCTTTCTATAAATGCATAAAATTTAAATTCCTTATTAAAATGGGAGTAAAACATTTAAAAATGCATAATTAAAATAATTGAAATAATAGAAGAATCAGACTCAGACTTTGATTAATATATAATTATAAATTTCAATCTAATGAGGAACTAAGTATCAAATTTCAATTAACAAGAAATATCATTTCACATTTACATAAACATTTTTGTTGAACATAATTAAAATTCATATCATTTCACTTGGAGAGTACTTGCATATTCTCTTTGTAAATTGTAAATAGTATTGTAAAAAAAAAAAAAAAGAGTATTTGCAAACTTTCCTAAGTTCATTTTCTTTGAAAAAAAAAGACAAAATTAAGAATAAAGACAAAATTAAAAAATGTCCTATTATTAATAATTCTTAAATTCCTTTACATTATATAAAAAATATGATTTAAAATTTTAATAAAATTATAAATTAATATATAAATTTAATAAAAATTAAAAATATATTTTTATTTTAATATATTAATATAAATTATAATAAAATAATTTTTATATTTTACACGTGATTTTATATCAAATAAAACTACATGTGTACAAATGAACTGTGTGTGATTAATTTTTAATTTAGATCTTTTTAATTTAAAAAAAAATTTATATTTAATATATTATTAATTATAAATTTTATATATTATCATTAAATCAGATAATGATAATTTATTAATAAAATGAATCATATGATAATATTTTATTAATAAATAAGTTATTTTAATTTATGTACATTTATTTTAAAATTGATATTTATTCATTAATAAATTTATCATCATCTGATTCATTGATAGTATATAAAATTTATATATTAATAATATATCAAATATAAAATAAAAAAATTAAACAAAGAAAGATGTGGTCTTCATTTATCAAGAGATTGACTTAATAATAAAATCGATCTTTTTAATCTAGATAATTTTGAATTCAAGTTCAGTAATTAAGTTTTTGTTGGATCATTTTGAATAAACGGCGTGACCTTCATTTTATTTCACATTGTTATATGATATTTTTGGCATTCCAAGCTTAGTTAAAGAAGAGAAGAAAGAAAATCTCACTCATTTTAGTTATTCTCCATTTAACAGAATTTGACCACAACCAAAAGCTTGTAGCAGCAGCCCTTGCAAATCTACCCCTTTTCACTCTGAATTGTCAAATGCCCACTTCATGCGATCCTTCACAAACCCTTTTTTTTCTCGATCTTTTCAAACATAAAACGCCACATTTCTCCCTACATTATCACAAATTTTCTCAGTTCTTTATTTGTCTTTCCTTGCACTTTTCTTCTCTTCGATCCCATCATTCCCTTCCTTTTTGGAACGAATCATTTTACCTTTGCGTCAAGACATGTAAATAACAACTAAAAAAATACTTTCTTCTCTGCTCTCTTCTGTCACTTCCTCAACCATCCCTTCACGTTATTGTACGGCTTTTTAACTTTATCTTGGTAGATTCCTCTTGTTCTTTCGCTACATTGCCCCTTTTTCACCAGTTTCAGACCTTTCTTTGCTATGTGAACTAAAGGGTCTTTCTTTAACATGGGTTTGTTTTTTGGGAGGTTTTACAGTGTCGGGTACTTGTGAAAATGGTTAAAACTTGAGTTTTTTTTTTTTTTTTTTACATTTGTAGATTTTTTTTTTGTGTGTTTTTTTAAGTGTCGGTGGTAAGAAAAATGGATGAACAGACCGGGAAAACGGCGTCGGCTTTAGCTATAACGGAGAAGAAGCCTCATAGGCCTGGTGGTTGTGTTGGCATTTTCTTTCAACTCTTTAATTGGAACCGAAGATTTGCAAAGAAGAAACTTTTCTCCAGAAAATTACTTCCTCCAGGTAAACTTTATTTTTATTTTTATTTTTGTATATTTTTTAACATGCAAAATTTCCCATTTGACTAAAAATGATTGCCTTATTTTTTTTTCAACTGCATTGTTTCTCAGCCCGTACCAATGCTTCCAAAAAATTTGGAGGAGATGAAAAAATGCCCAGATCCAAGCTTCATTTGGTATGTTCTGGGGTCTTTCTCTCTTTGCTTTTGGCAATTTTGGTTTATGGATTAAGTACTTATTTTGATAATACAAAGAAAATGAAATTTATGTTTATGTGAAATTGGTAGATTGCTGGTGAGAACAGTGGGGATTTTCCAAATGTGAAGAAGAATGGTAAACATAGTAATGGAGAAATGGAGCAAAAGCGTGAAATGCGAGCTCCGGGTTTGGTTGCTAGGCTAATGGGACTAGAATCCATGCCGGCTGTGTATAGAGATAAGTCTAATAAGAAACACCCGGTTTCAGGTAGTAATTCTGATGTTAGAGATGAGAAAATGGTGAATGGTCAAATTAGGGCTAGTGGGGATGATTTGGCTTTGGAGAAGAGTAGCAAGAAAATTGAACCAAGGCCTCAAAAGATACTGAAGATAGAGCCATATGATAGACGGGCGGTCACCAGGTTTGGAGCTGAGGCATTGCAAATTAAGAGCGTTTTATCACGATCAAAAAGGCATCACCATCAAAAGTTTGTTTCTCCTGTTAAGAGTCCAAGGATCTCTTCTGCAAGGAATGCATCTAGGGCATCTAGGTTGATTGATGCAGCTGCTAAAATTCTGGAACCTGGGTTGCAAGCGACAAATAGAGCGAAATTTGCTCTTGCTTATTCGAGTTCTATGCATTATTCATCTAAAAATGGGGTTGTAACTGAGGGAATTGGGGTTGTGTCACCAGATTTGTTGAAACAATCTGCTTGTAATGTTAGTCATGCCAAGCCTTTGATGGGCCAGACATCTTGCAGGAACTGTGGCAGTTTGCTTGATGTTGTGGAGTCTGGAGGAAAGTTGGAGGGTCAGCCATTTGTTTGTCCATCCTTTGCTCCAAATTTCATAGATGCTTCTTCTCAAGGATTTGAAAAGAATTGGCCAAGGTCTTCCCCATCCTCATTTTGTCAAGGGAAAGAGATAATTTTTCAGAGAAGCCATGACCAACCCTTATCTTTTACTGGTCAAGAAGAGAACAGTGTACAGTCCTGTAATGAATCCAATACGTTTAAAAATCCGCTATCTCCTGAAGCTCAAGCTCGATGGCATTTGGCAAGCCAGCCAGGCAAACCTCAAAAGAATGGAAAGTCTGCTTTTGCTTTCAAGCCCAAGAATCAAAGTCAAAATCATATATCACTAGACAGGGATAGAATCCCAGCAACAGCTAAAGTAAGTAATCTTCAAAGTAGGAGAGCTGCTTCTGCTGCAAAGGCTGTTTGTGGAGCCAAAGATATTATTGCCCTGAACGGAAGTTTAAGTGCTCGCACCAGACATAGAGTGCCAATCAAAGTGGATAGTTCTCCTATTGACATTGGGAGAAAATCTTGCAGCGACCGAGATGGTTCTTTGTCTCAGTTAAGGTCACCAGTAAGAAAGCGGAGAACAATTAGTGTTAATGGGCAAGCTGAAACTGCAGGTTTCATCAATTCAGCAAATGGAAAAGAAAGAAATGTGAAATGCAATTCAGCGACTAAAAGAGAAATGATGCATGGTGCTCGCACCATGGACTGGACATGTGTTAAAAGCAGATCAACAAGCCGGGAAACTGGTACTGGAGCCAAGGGCAAAAATGACTCTGATATTGTTTCATTCACATTCAGTTCCCCATTAAAGCAAAACCATGTCATTTCCATGGGATTGAAGGATAAAAGAAAGTATCAAAATGACATTAATTGTAAAAGCGCTTCTCTCCAAAGAAGTGAAATATTTGAAGACAATTTTGGAGAAACATCTTTGCAGAAGAACTTGCCACTGACAGGAGATGCTCTAAGTGTTCTTTTGAAACAAAAGTTGAAGGAATTGACTTCTCAAGAGGGGGATGAAGTGATATCAGATTGTACTCTACCAAAGAGATCAACTGCCATGATTCTGCAGGAGTTAATTTATGCTTTAACTTCAGAGCAGCCTAACTCTCAGAATGGTCACCTGTTCAATTCAGATGTGGGTTTCCAGGTTGGTATTTATATTCCGAGGCAATTAAATCTCCTTCTTGCTCTGGTTTCAGCAGTTATTGACCAAATATAAAATCTGTTATAGTTTGTCTTTTTTTTTTTTTGGGAATTTGGTGTTTGTATCCCTGGTCACAACTTGCATTTTTTAGCGGTCTCTGACAATGACAACTGCCTTGGTTATTTGGAGTACTGCTTATTAGGGATAAAATGCATGTAGGAAGATTATAAGAATACCTTTTCACCAACCCCATCACCTGGGTGTGGTCCAGCAGTTCTTATTCCTTGAGTGGAATTAGCATCCAGGGTTAAACTCCCCCTCCCTCGGAATAAAGTGGAAAGAAAAGAAAAGACTGAAAGTCTAGTCTTGTACAGTTGAGTAAATAAACTGCATAATTGCTCCTGCAGTGCTAAAAATTAATTGAAGAATTAACACTGCCTCTAGGAATTAGATTCACTGGAGTTTGTGAAATCTGCAATTTAACTTTAATATTTGCCTTGGTTTCAACCCAATTAAATAGAAACAAGATTGGTGTAGCATAGCTAAAGTTTTTTCAGATTGAAGCTCATAACTTGAACCCTTCCTGTAATGTTTCTGGATGTTGATCTTATTTGATAGCTACTATGTCAAAGAGTTATGTATTTTATGTTGCTTTCAATTATTCCAGAAATATGATGGCTCTGATTTTATTGCAAATCTGTATATTTAATGTTGCTTTTACTTTTTTTTCCTTTTGCAACTTACTTTTTCCACTTTACTGGATTTTCTATGGTAAATATTATTAAATAGGATGATTTTTTATGGCTGTTAGTATGTTTTTCTAATGTCTATCTGGCCTATATGGCTAAAAGGCTTTTTTGTGGCTGCAGTTAACCCTTTTTATTTTTGTGCTTTGCTCGAGGCTTTGTGCCTAAGACAAAAGCTATTTCTGGCATTTATAAGTTTTAACATTTTTATTTCTTAGACTGAAGCAAAGGCTGAAGGGACTTTAGTTGGATTGGTGAGCCATGGCGATCATTTTAGCCCCGGTTCTGTTTTTGAAGCTTCATTTTCAAATGATAGTTGTGTTTCCAGCAGCCTAGATGAAAGCTTAGGTAAAAAATTAAATCCTAAGCCTTAATTGCTCCCTTTTATTTTCTTATGTCTGTGAAGATATGTGCATGCTATTCAAGGAACTTGTCTGGTATTGTAATAATGGAAAATGCAGATTAAACCAGTTCATGCATAGCTCCGATTAGTCTGGCTTGATAAATTTTTTTTCTGTACCACCTCTATGATTTTCATTTAACATTCCCCTCCTTCACAGAAAAGAATGGATGATTCATTTAGTTTTTTGCATATTTACTTCTTGCTTCAGGACATAGATTGCAACTGGATTCCATGGATTACTCATATGATGAACCACAACCAACAGAACGTGATGCAGAGCTTCTGGATTCTGCAACTTCATTGGACAAAGAGATGAATGGTAATGTGATGATAGCCGATCTTGTCAACCGAATTTCTGTTATGTTGCAAGTCTTAAGTAATTTTGGTCTTGGAATATCTGGAGACAAACTTATCCATGTAAAGGAGGCTATCTTGAAAGCAGAACTGTTGTTTGGGAATGTGACTCCCCATGAATCAGATGGGACAGATGATTTTCTGCTAGGGCCCTACGTACATGATGAAGTTGAAACTCTTGCTGGTTCTATGTGTGTAGATTTTAATTCTCTTCTTCACTTTGATCAGACCAAAGAAAATAATCAGCTTCGAGGATTTTTGTTTGACTGTGCAATAGAGTGTTTAGATTCCAAGTACGGTAGATACTGTAACTCCGGATTTGCAGCATGGAGAAGTCTGCCATTGTGCATGAACTCGGGGAAGCTGATTCAAGATGTTGCGGAGGAAGTTAGAAGGTGTACAAAGTTGGCTGGGATGGTTCCTGATGAATTAATAGAATGGGAGATTAGTTATTCACTTGGAAAATGGACGGATTTTGACATGGAGGCATATGAAACAGGTGCTGAAATTGACTGGGATATTCTTCAAAATTTAATCCAGGAACTTGTACTAGACTTGGTTTTCCCTTGAATTTTATACAGGCCCTGTGATTTGTGAGTATCTTTTGTAAATCATGTTGACATGCTACCACTTAATTCTCTATTGTGATCAAATCAAGATGGTAAATTTTTGTCCAAAGGAGTCATGGATGGGATGGTATTGTTGTCTGGGCCATTGTATAATCTTCTGTCCTGGATGGAACTTGTTCTGAAATAGCTGAACAGCTTGAAAGAAAAAAAAAAAACATGATTATATCCACAGCTTTACAATAGAAAAACAAACTTAACAAGAAAAAAAAATTTCGTAGCTTCTAATCCCTCTAACATGTGGGAACAAGTAATCAAATCCTTGTAAAACAAAATCCAATCAAGAAACCCAAAAAACGAAAAAAAAAAAACAAAGTTTAAAAACCAAAGTGAAATTCAAAGCTTTTTTTTTTTTTTCTTTTCTAAAACTGTCTATACCCCAAAACAGTTATGTTATGACCAGCTACTTTTCTGCCACCACTCTTCCTTCCCCTGTTTCCACCATTAATGGCATTCGCTGCAGCCAATGTAATCCCTTTCAATTCTTCAACACTTGCATAACTCTTCCTTGCCATCATCAACCTTCCTTTTTTCTCCCCTGCATTTGCAGACTTACTCCCCCTCGAATTGGGCAACGAAACCCCATTCCCTTTTGACCGTTTCTTTGTTGGTGCTGGTGGTGTCAATTCAATACCACTGGTAACTGCCGGCTTTCGATTCTCTTTCCTTAAAGTTGCTGAAAACTCAGGCACTGATTGAGCCAAAACAGAGGACCCTTTCCTAGAAATCCCTAAACTTGAACTAAACTTCACTTGTTTCTTTGATGGGGTTTGTTTAAATTCAATTTCTTCCCTTTCTTGTTGCTTCCCGCCCTTCATTCTCAGCTTTGTTTCTCTCAACTCTGCATATGCTCTATATCTGGGACCTCTTTCCATTACATAACTCTCTGTTGTCAGCCTTAAAGGGATTGGGTTACTAGGGCTTGAATTCTGAGAAAGAATGAGAGAAATAGGGTCAAGGACATGGAAAAGAGATTGCAGAGCAGGGTTTGGTTGATGGGTTTGTCGCAGAGAATCACATGTCTCTGCCATTTTTTATGAAAGTTGACGGTTTACTCTGTTTTTTGCTCTGTTGTTTTTGTAGATTTGATATTAAAAGAGATTTGAGATTGCAACGGTCCAAATCCGATAGAAAGAGCGAGGGACAGAAAGCCCAGAGAGGACGTTTTTGCTTTTACAATTTTTTTTCTTTTAGCATTGTTTTCAACGTTCTTATGGGAATCCAATAAAAAAAAAAAATTGGGGAAGTTTAGATTTGACCATTTGTGTACGTGAATCATATGTGTTTATGTAAAAAATTTATCAAATACAAAAATTATCAGTATTATAACTTTTTTTTATATTTTTAAATAATTTATATATTTTTTATTAAAACTTTAATTCGCATAGTTTATATATATATTTTATATTTTTTTATATTATATTTTGTCCGAAGTTTATTATGTTTAGTGAAGTCTATTATTTCAGCCGTTTGATAGGGATCTTGTTCTGGGGACTTGAGGGCTAGAGCAAACTAGCTAAGGGCAACAAATTTTATGTTTTTGATTGTGATTTTGACAAAAACTTGTTTTTCCAAAGCGGCAATTTGAAGGCTTTACATTTGGATCCAAATGATGCATCCTCCCTTGTCCAATTCTACGTTTTTTTTTTTCTTATATTATAATGTAGCCTCACCAAACCCATGAAGAAAGGAAATGTAAGAATGCCACCACATTTTAGACATTATTAAATTTATTTACAGCCTTTATACAATACAAGATATGATCTTCATCCCACCAAGGATGATAAACCCCAATGAATTTGGATGTTGGTAGAGAAAGCCAGTGGCAATGGCAACAATGTTTTTCAGATGTAGGAATACTATTCCATTTCTGAAATTTGTTCAGCTCTGAACCAGGGGCTGACTAATTCATTAAGATTGTCGATTCATGTATTTGTGTATTTTTTTTCATGTTTAATCAAACACGAAAATTATTATGTTATAATTCGTATCAACACGTCAAACATAACATATTTTTTGATTTTGCTAAATTCATATTTGATTTTTGCTAAAATTTTAAATAAATTGGCCTTACATACTTCTGAAAAGTTACTTGGAAAAGAAAATATATAACCAGGTTCTGCTAAAAGGGTAGTTAATATTTATCAAATAAAGGGTAAAGAAAAAAGGGGTTCATTTAAATGGTTACACTTACTCCACCAATATGGCTGTTAGCGTGAGGAAAGTTGAGGGGAAACTCCATGTCCTTCATCCATGGGTTCTTAACATTCTCAAACGAGTTGAATCTTGTTTCTGTATGATCAGACTTTGTGATGCTTGTACTTCTGTCCTAAATTGAATCTTGTGATTTTTTGGCTGAATCCACTGAGCACTAGGGTCCTCACAGCTTCAACTCCTTGTTCCAATGCTTCATCAATCTGTCAAAATAGCCAATAACAGTTGACATTATTGGAGCGCGACAGAGTTAGTTCTACATATTTAAACATCAAAACTAAACACATCAATCCAAGTTAAACTTTGATTTTGCTTTTAAATTCAATTGGATTGAATACAACACACCTAATTGAAGAGCTAAGTTTCGTGTCTGAGAGTATAATCCATTAAACACCAAAGCATGAGATAGACAAGAGGCAACTAAACCTTGCATAATAGTTGAAATCAGTAATAGTATACCTGATTTCGCTCTACTGAACTGAACTTCTGCAGAAGATAAGCTTTCATGTCCATAGCACCAGGTGGATTTCCAATGCCTGATGCATGAATAACTCTTTCAGAATCAACATATGCATCTAATCTACCTTTTAAAAGGAACGTCTGTTTATGATGCAAATACTTCATAGTTAAGCAAAAGCTGATTGTATTCTAGGAACCCACCTATGCACAACCGAGGAAATTCACGACAGCCGTCCAAATGGCCCATCACACTCTTAACTCTGCAACAAGAGAGCACATGTTAATGTTTTTGAATCTCCATTTGTTAAGTGGGGAGAAAGATGAAGATGCACTTAAAGAGACAGGAGAAACAACTGTGCGATTGCTTTTATTATTCCTTAGCATTAGGACGTAAATATGAACTAGTATTGCTCAAATCTGTAAGATTGAGATAGCTCAATGCAAATGTGGAATGATATCAGGGAGGAACTGTTGAGCAAAGTACAGATTTTGCAATAGCTGAGATATGTCCAAGATCAAGCCCATAATTACTTAGATTACCATAAACAAATTAGAATTAAACAATATCTACACAAACCAGACAAAGAACTCCTGATTGCACGGAAGGAAATGAGGCATAAAGAAAACCAAAAACAACACAAACTATCAACAGCAAATGACTGTAAGCCTCACCTTAAATCTGGTTTCTGATTATTTTTTTTTTGGTACAAAGGAGGCTGCAGCCTAGGGATAGGGGAAGGGGTTGCAGATGCTGGGATTTGAACCCCAGACCTATTTGATGCCACCTTTTAAGGGTAGCTGTATGAACCAATCGAGTTAAGCCTTGGGTTCAAATTTGGTTTTTGATTTCAGAATGAAAAGAATTTGCAATTTCACCCTAACCATGGAAATAATCAAATATATAAGCCAAGTTATTTCTATCTATTAGATTAGATAAAACACAACCAACAATGTCAACTCTTGGAATGGTTCTTGATATTCACATAGGGCTTCTCAGTTTAATACTGCTTAGGTCTAGACTTTAATAAGGCCATTGTTTCATTTTTTTTTTTCTGGGCGAAGCTAGTAAATCAATTGTTAGTCACTTAATAACATGGTTTTATTCCAATCCATGTGAAATGACAGAACAATCTGATTGCAGCGAAAAACACAATGAAGATTCCCAACTATCTAAATGCTGGTTCGTCACAGGCTTGAAAGGTTAAAAAGCAAAGAAAGCCAAGGCATCCCATGATACAACATTCTTTGAAAACAAATACTATGAAAAAAAAAGAAGGTAAAATAAGGCTTCAATGTCGATTTGCAACTCATTGTCTACTAGACAATGAAATTTTAGGGTATCCTAAATCTCTGATAATTGGAAAATTACATGTCCCTTTGGGCTTTCACTTCATTTTCTTTCAAAAAGGGGGGAGGGGTCAACAATAAAAAAAGATGGATTGTGACATACTTCTCTCCTTTGTTTGTATCCCACCAGAAAAGAAATAAGATTAACATTCTTAAAAAATCAAAAAAAGAAAACTATATAAGTTATACTCTATTTTCATCACCATAAAGGCTAGTAGTCTATCTTTATCACCATAGAACAGAACAAAAGGAGTAGAATATGAAGGAAAAATAACACAGCAAACAAGAACGTCTTATAAATCAGGAGAAATAAATTTAAGCTACAACAGGTAACTACTTCAACAGCAAATTGTCTCAGAATAGACATCTCATCTGCTAGGCATTTTTTTGTTATACCTTATCTAGGTAATCTCATCTTATCGCTATTTGGTTTCAGACATGTAAAGATTCATGAATTAGACAGATGAATACTGTTTCAGAAGTTCTTGAATGAAAAAGATTTTTCTTAAACAACACAGTTAAGTTCATGAGATAGACAGATAAACTTTATATGTTGCTTGGGAAGTTCTTGTACATAAACTAAGGCTTCTTAAACAATCTGGCTCAGTGCAAAGGGAGACTTATAAAGATTCTGTTATTAGTAATATCAATCAAACATACCCATTATGATGGCCATGTCCTCCTTTTGGCTGAAGCCTCAGAACACCATTTGGCAAGCTCATCTCATCATATATCTACATTGGAAAGCTCAAAGTCAAAGTGTTCTAAATAATAACAACAACAATAAAAAGATAACTCCTGCTTGATGGGTATGTAAGACAGCATACCAGTAATATGTGACGCAGGGGTACTTGATAATAAGCAGCAAGAGGCCCAACCTTAACAAAAGTATTAAAAAAAAGTGGAAAATTCAGAGATAGAAATGATTATAAGGTGGCTTAAATAAATCACCAAAATGTCACTTAAAAATAATGAAAAAGGATGTGGGAGAACATATATATATATATATACAAGAAAAAGAGACGCACATTACCACACATTCCATACACATTCTTTATTGATCATCATATAAACATCTTGAATCAGTATTGTGATATGCTTATTTAGCTGCCTATATGCCACTACAACATTTGATTCCCCAAAGATGTAAAAACTTGAAAATAATATACCATGTATACAGACAAAACCTCTGCCACTGTTAAAAGAATCCCCTCAAGGAAGAAACCCTTGTTAATAAACATGAACTTGGGTGTTGCAGGGTAGCATCGCAGCAGGTAAAGTCCATAACATAGGATTAACCATATACATATAAAATCTCTGCCATGGTTAAAAAACCCTCAGGTAAAAAGCACTAATTAATGAACAATTTGGGTGTTGCAGTGTAATCTGGCAGGATGCAAAAGTCCTGAATGCAAGACTAACCATAAATACAAAGATGAAGGTCTAAAAGATCAACTCCAAAATTAAACATGTTAATTTACTTGCAATCGAATTTAAGTAGGTGCATGGCTAGGCATTCAGCAACAACTTAATTTAATTTGATAGCATCTAGCAGAATCTTTCACCTGTCTATCCCTAATTCAGACATGCATGATTTGAAATTCTGCACATATGGTAAAAGGAACAGCTTAGACCTAAGAACACTCATGGAAGCAGTAAGTTTTTAATCGCTTTTCTGCTGCTTTTAATCATGTTGAGGCTGAGGCTGAGGCTGATGCATTTGCCTTTAGAAAATCAGGAGCTTGCTGAACTATTTGTTTCAGGGACATCAGTCTCTAGACTTCAATTTATAAAACAAAAGTTGATGTCCTGTGTAAGTTTCAAAGTGACAATTTGTCCAAATATCTCCAATGAACTATGTAAACACTCACTCTATGCAGTAAATTTCCTGTTACATTTTAGCTGCATCTAATCTATGACAATGCATCCACTTATCAAAGATATATCGTCTAAGTGTTACCTCATTTGCAGCCTTGGTGGTCAGGAGGCAATTGATAAAATAAGATACAAAAAAAAGGAACTGTTACATGAACCATGAGAGATGCTGCAATGCTTCTTATACAACAAAAATTTAATCTGGCAGACCTACATCTTCCATTTTTTTTAATATCAAGAAAGACTTTCCAATTGGATAATTTTCTTTCGGAACACTTCCCTTATTTATAAAATCAAATCTTAAATTAAGGAAAAAAAAAGGATCAGAAAACTTTGGATAGCACTACTTGGGTTCTTCTAGGTCTTAGGAATTGAGGTGATAGACCACTTTCATTGCTGGCATTGAAGAAATAACCAATTAACCAATGAGATATGTAATTTATTAATATTTCATTAGTTTTGTGTAAATAAATGGCACTAAAGACACTATACAACAATTTGTCTTTAAAATTCTTAATTATAAATATGAGAATACAATGAGTTCCAGATTTATTCAGATATATCATCCCTATTTCGTTTTATGGTGAGGCATCTAAGAATGGTCTTGTACAAGAATCATTGTCCTCTAGATATCTGATGGAAAATGTGCAGCTGGTTCAAGAAAAAAAGAGATGAAGGCAGCATGTTTCAGAAAATATTCCAAGCAAAAGCATTGGCACATCATTTCCAGCCATGTTTTAAAAAAGTGCAGATGCCTTTGCTAACTAAAACATGAGGAGATTCTTCCAGAGGACATGGGAAGCATAACCTAGACCCTGCTATATAGAACTGATATGAGGAAAGGGGAAAACAAAATGTACGAGGACTAACCGATTCCCCACTGAAATTCATGTATGCCTGAGGCTTTGCCAACAAAATTGGTACTTCCCCAATGGCACCTGTACTGATCACACATGAAATCTAAGTAAACCACCAAGCATAACTATAAATCTGGAAAGACTAAAAAGCATTAAATCCCAGGGAAAAATATTTACCTATTCCAATTAGAGCTTTTGACTGAATAGTATTCAACACAATCCCTTCCAATCGAGAAATTTGATCAATCATTTCAAAACCAACCTGGTACATATAACAATGTCAATACCATATAAACCAAAAGAAACATTAAGCTATTGGCTTCATAACTTGTAATTGATTACATTATGCCTAGTTCCATGGTACTTATTTCCAGGGTTACCCAATCCAACAATCAACCAAGGAGTATACTCCACTTTAGATCCACCATTATTGTCTGGCAATGAAGCACGCAAACAGAGCCTTGTTGATCCTCGATTCCTTTGACCAAAACATCTGCTTCTTGGATACGAAATGCAAGTGTTTGGAACAGAAATTGCATGCAACATTGACCTAAAAAGGCATAGCATAAAACATTTTTTCATAATTAAATAAAGAAGAATACTTGGGCTTGCTGTTAGTTGTTGTTCCTTTATCAAAAAACTTCAATCTTTAATTATGATTTTCCTGTTTAGAGCATAATAGAAAAATGGGAAATTGAAAATTCATTGTTTGGCATATTTCATTCAGATTTCCACATTGTTTCCTTTCCATAGCCAGGTCAAGCTTGAACCCAGTGTTGACAATGAGCAACACTTACCACAGAACAGAAGATACAGTAAAGTAAGCAAACAAAACAAGAGATACCCAAAAAAGAAAATTACAGAACAACTGAGATAAGGGAATAAGAAAATACAAGTGCAAAAGGCATAAGATAAGGAAAACTGATATATAGAAATCAGAAGTGAAAAACAAAAAAAAAATTGAGGAACTGACCTGTTTGTCTTCGGGTACTTCAATTCAATAAGAAAAAAGGTTGACGGAAAGGGGAGGGGAAGAAAGAGCACACTTGAGGTTGAGTTTGAGTTTGAGTTTGAGGCTTTGGTGGTTTTGTCTTAGCTTAGGTGGTTGGGATATTTCATGTTTAGATGATTTTGATATAAATTTCATGACTATGATTAACGAATAATTGATGGGCTTCTAAGGGAATTTGGGCTCAACCCATATACATTTTTTGTTGCAACTTTCTTATTTTTGTTTTATGGACAAAATCATTCTTACAAGAATTGAAATCTAAATTTCTATTTTTCTTTATTTCAAGTTTTCAAGAAATTAAAAATAAAAAAAGCAACTTTTTATTTTTTTGGTAAAATAAATATGAGATAGATAGATCACTTAATCCTTTAAGTTAAAGTAAAATGTATCGTAATTGATAACTTAAGATAAATTAATGTAAGTTATGCATTTAAGATGATTTTAACAAGCAATCATTGATAAGATTCAAACTAAAGACTTTGATAATAAACGGTCACTGATAAAATTTAAACTCAAGATCTCTTTATCAAGGAGAATGATTTTTATCCAATTAAGTCAACTACTTGTTAGTGACTACAATTTTTTATTATTCTATAATGTGGGTTGATTTGCTAAACATGTATGCTATTTGTGATGAACCATTTTCAAGAATATAAAATTTTTTTATTACTTTTGAGATGAAAAAAAAATTTCTTTTTAAATTACACCAATTGTTATAAAAGCTCTTATCAAACATATTTATAATTAAATATAAAAATAATAGCTTCTCAAAATAAATTACGAATTACAAAGAATGAAGAAAAAATCTGAAACAATACTCACATTAGCAATTATTTCTTTCATTCAAATTACGATATATAATCTTTCATCACTTTAAAGGTATAATGAAACATAAATCCATTTTAAGATTACAGCCTTTAATAATCTTAATTAAGTTACTAATTAAAATTAATATTAAATTAGGGGAAACATGTTTGAAAATTAACAATGTGCAAAATCCATATATATAATTGCTTTACTCAAGAAATTAAAGTTCATAGAGATCATTATCAGCATAAATTAGAAAACAAAAATATTTACATGTCCAAACCCCATGCACTTTATAAATTTGAAGTTTGAACCAGCCCATATATTTTTATATCATGGCACGGCCGGCCCCAGACCGAGATGCAAATCCAAACCTAGTCCCTTATCAATCTTAGGGCCATCATCGTCTCCGGTGAACCTCCTCACTGCTGGCAAAACTCTGGCATGAGCCTTGACATGACCGGACATCGCGACCGCCATGGTCTCCACTCCTTCTCCTGTATACAGAGGCCGTCCAAGCCCAGCAGCCGGCCCACAAGGGTACGTGCCACCATGGTACATATGCAATGGGGCAGCTGCTGCTGCTACTCCACGTGACATATAAAAGGAAGAATGATACTGCGGCGGGGCAAGGAGGTGCGGCGGAGGTGCAAAACCAGATAACATATAGTTTTGGAGGTGAGGAGAAGAGAAACTTCGAATAGTTTGCATTTGTGCACGCTTCAGTCGCTGCCTTTCCTTCTTGTGAGCATTTTGGTGACCCCCTAGGGCTTGAGAGTTAGCAAAGTCCCTGCAACAATATTGGCACTCGTATTTACGGGCATCGGACTCGACTTCCGCTGATCCGGTTGGAGATTTGCTTGAATGATTGGCAGTGCTTTCCACTATGTTGAAGCCAAAGAGCTTCAAGGGTTTTGCATGAAAATCAATATCAGCCATGAAAAAAGATGAGTTAAAAGTTTTAGAATTACAAGGCAGTTTCAAGTAATACTGATGCAAATCATGAATAAGAGCTAACTGGGATTCACGAGCTAAATTTATACAAGGTAATTTACTTGAGAGGGAGTGAAGCCATGTAAGAAAAAGGAGAAGGGTTGGATCTGAAAATTATCCCCAAGATAAGGATCAAGTGAGATTTGCCCAAGAAAATTATTTTTTTTAGGAGTGTTGGAGTTCTTAGATTTCAATTCAAGCCGGATATGATTATATAAATTTATTAGAAGAGACAATTTTAAATCGTAATTTAAAATTTTAATAAAAGTTTTGATAAAAATTAAAAAATATATATTTTATATTTAATATATTGATATAAATTATGATACGATTTAAATTTTTTTTATATATTTATTTAATTAAAAAAATAATTCGTAAAATATCAATAATCAATTTTAATATCATTTCAATTAATTAAAAAATTAATTAATTTTTATTTTATATATGATAAATATAAAATTATAAATTTACCAATTATTAAATTAAAATTAAAATTAATATTATTTCGATCTCTCACATCATCAAAACTCAATGATGCAGGTGTAATCACTATGTTGTTCACGTTTAATTTCTCAATCGAACATAACAATCATCCATTAAGAAAAATTAGCTTGAGACACAAATTTTAAAGAATGGAAAATTATGAAACCAAGTATTGCGACGGCGGGCCCAGCGTGAGGCGTAGTTGGGAACATGTTTGCGTGATTGAGGTTTGTTTATTAAGGGAAGATCTTTGCGAATCTTACTAACCACCATCAATTGGGGAGGATTAAACAAATCCAAAGTCATCACTTTAACTTCCATGACTTTGAGTCATCATCATTAATTAATTAATTAATCACTTATGGAAATTGTAAATTCTGTATATGATATTAAACCATTCAATAAAACTTAATTTTCGTTTGAATTTGACCACATCTCATGATTGGTGCAATTAAATTCATTACATTATTAATTAAATTTAAATATCAATTTCAAATCAAATCAACATAAATTTTTAATTAAAATTTTTTTCAATCGTATTTATAGTAATTTTAACATAATTAATCTCATTGTTCATTCAAATAAAATTTTAACCATTTTCCATTTCATAAATTTCAATTGAAATTCATCTTTCATTTTATAAATCACATTCGTTCATTTCAAAATTCAAACTTAAAATAGTTAAAGATAAAATCTTAATTTTAATAGCTAAAGTGCTCCTCTAAAAGGCCCCTTTTTTTTTTTTTTAAGCATTTAACAATCGCTTTTTGACTATTAATGAAAAATAATTACTTATTAAGTTTATTATTAATTATTTTTAAATTGTAGTTTTGGAATAAATTTCATCATTTGTTATTGAACACTGACTAAAATCTTATTTGCATTATTAAATTTTAACTTGTTTCAATTAAGTCCTTGAATTCTGTAAATTATATCAAATCTAATCATCCTAATAAATTTCATTAAAAAAAGTGACAAAAAAATAACATGATTGCAATTAAGTTACCACACCAACAATTTTTTTGTGCATACCACCACATAAACATTTTTGGGATAGCAAAAAAATTGAAAAAAAAAATCACCAAAAAAATTCTGGCTAGCTTAATCTTAAATGCTTAGCTTTTACTCCAATACCTTAAAACAATCATAGCTATCATAATTTCAGCAAAATCAATGGACTATATTTAGTACATTGTATAGAATTCAGTGACTTTATTGAAATAAATTAAAATTTAATGATTCAAATTAGATTGATCAAAATTCAATGACCAATGATAAAAATCTCTAATAAGAATATGAAAAGTATTAACTAATATAGACTTCGAAAAAAAAAAAAAAAGCAATGTTGATATATTGAAGTGAATGAATATATTTTTCCATTTGCTTATCCCAAGATTGATAACACGTTTAATTTGTGAAATAGAATAGATGGGGAAAGGAATTTGTATTCCGTAAGAATAGAAAATAAGAGAAACATAATAGGATATGTATTATAACATTTGATTCATTAGAATGGAATATAAGATGCATTAGTATTAATGCATTTGGTTAATTCAAAGAATATAGATATAATAAGTTTAAAAAACCATATTGCCCTTATAATTTATTATCAAAATTATATTTATTAAAAATAATAAAATACTAATAATAATTTAATATAGTAATTAAATATTAATAATTAGTATTAAATTAATAATATTATATATTAATATTTTAATTAATATTAATTTAATAATTTTAAATATTAATTTAAAAGTATTAACTAATATTTCATAATATTAAATATTAACTCAATAACATTGAGTATTAATTTAATAATATTAAATATTTTAAAATTGTTTTAATAATATTTGAATATTTCATCTTATTTTAATAATATTTTCATTATATTTATTTTATTTTAATAATATTTTAATATTAATTTAATAATATTTTAACATTTTGATATTATTTCAATAAAATTTTATATGAAATATTAATAAAATATTTTAGTATTAAATATTATTTTAATAATATTTTAATATTAAATTTTAAGTGATATTATTTTAAAATAATTTAATTAATTTAATAATATTTTCATATTATTTAAATAATGTTTTATTATTATTTTAATATCATATTAATTCAATAATTCTTTTAATATTTAAAATTGTTCTAATAATACTTATGTATGATTTTAATATTAAATATGAATTATTTTAATAATATTTAATATTAAGTATTAATTTAGGAATATTTTAATATTTAATATAATTTAAATAATATTTAATATTAAGTATTAATTTAAGAATATTTTAATATTATTTATTTATTATAATTTACTTTATTAAAATTAAAATTAATTAATAATATATTAAATATTATAATTAAAATAATAGGAAAAAATAGAATTAATCAAATATATAAAGACAAAATTGTCCAATAAATATTGTTTTAAATTCTTGAAGAAACAAAAATTACAATTCTTAAAAAATAATAAAAAGATTGTTATTTCTTGTTTTTAAAAAATTAACCTTTAATGGAATAATTTTTTTTGCTAAAAAATAAACCAAACAATGAAACAAAATAAACATAAAAAAAAGGGGAATGGAATTGCAATTTCCCTCTACCAAAAATGCCATGAATCTAAGAAGGAGAATGTGTTGTTTCTAGTGCATCTAGAATTATATATATATATATATATATATATATTATATTTATTTATTTATCCAATGAATGATATTAAACCATTTTTCTATTTTTATAAAAAAATATGTAAATTTTTTTTTTTTAGTTTTATACTATGTAAATGAATCTCCATTCATATATATTTTATATTAATTTCATGCTTTTCTTGTAAAGTTGATTGAAGTAATTAGTTAAATCAAACAAACATGGCCAACTCCATTTATTTAAATCAAATTCAAAACTTAAGGCATTAGCTTTTGTTTACGAGATGACCTATTATAGTTAAAGCCATCAGTTTAGACAAAGATGGATTTAGTCATCATTTTCATTCATTTCTTAATCAATACAATTTGGCGTGCTTAAAACCTTAAACTATAAGAATAATATTAAGCAAGAAATACAGCATATCAATTGGTGAACAAAGTGATGAAACCCTTTGGACGACTATGAAAGCTCATGGATAAACACAAATTAGCCAAAGACATGTGTTAAGAAGCATATTAAACAAGGAAATAATCAATAAGCTAGCTTCATATGCATTAAATAATAATTTATTTTAGGGTAAGAGCTTAGATAAGCCATCTTTGAAAATAGGAGGTACTTGTCTTTCAAGTATTAAAATTGATAAAAATATTAATCAATTTAGAAACTAAGTAGCACAAGCTAATCAATATTTGATTAGCTTAATTGGTAAGATCATTTGTCTTGAAAAATTTTATTTTAGATTTAAATCTTATCAATGACTTATCTTTGAGGAAGGTATTTCTCAACATCATCACCTTAGTCTCAAAGCAATTTTTATGATATGTCTCTGAATTTTTTTTAAAAAAAATTTCAAACTATATATTCAATAAGAATTTTACATTGACCTATTCTATCAATGTAAAGCATGATTCAACTCAACCAATCCAAAATTTTTTCCATTTGAACACCCTTTCCAACTTATTGCAAACAAGATCACATCAACAACATCTCTTAATAGGAGAAGAAAAAAAGTTTTCATGATAAGCCTTGAGAATTGAGATATATTAAGAACCAAACAACAATATAAGCAATTTTATAGGCTGTTTGAGGAACATGAAACATAAAAAATACTTGTCATAAGAAAACACAAAGTCTTATAGTAGCAAAATATTGTTTACTTTTACATCAAATGAACTTCTTCCTTTTTATTTCGAAAAAGCATAAAATTCCTCAGAAGTTTTTCCAACATCTTACTAGACTTCTTAACCAATCTTCTGGCTAACTATTTGACTGAATTCTTCTTAGTTCCCACTCATCCGAACATATACTTCCTTTAATTATATCAAGTAAGGTTCGATGTCGAAAATGAGCCATGTCTTTTTGCGTAAAGGGAAAACAATCACCGAGTGTAAGGCAATCGGCATACTTCATTACAAAGAGGCCGCAATCAACCGAACTATCATACAAAACAAAAACAAATTGATAGTTAAAAAATGGTTAATGATTGTCGAATGTGAAACCAAAAGCATATATTGCAACGTTAGAAATTTTGGGAAAAAAAATTATTTGCTTACTTCTCTTGAACAGGAATATCAGTTGGCACTTGAAATGACCATTCATTTGCATTATCATAACCCAAGAATGGCAATAGAGATCCTTTAAACCACCCTGAAATTGCTTTCTTTTCATCTTTATTATGCATTTGTGAAAGTCTATTAGAATCTAACCATGACAATTTCTGCATCTTGGTGTCCACATAGAAAAGCACCCAATGATTCAAAAAGCACAATGGTAGAAATATCTACAATCATGAAAAGTGGATCATATAACTATACATAATTCTGAGAATAAGAAAATGCATTAAAAATGCTATTTGTCTTCAAACATAAAAAGCTTACCTTATGGACATCTTTTAGCTCTTCAATCTTAACCCATCTCAATAGCTGGGAATCCGTTCTTTTCTTTTCAATCAAGAAAGTCTGTTGCATGCATGCATAATAGATCAATGTTACTCATGACGAATCATAATATATAATATCAACCACAAAGGTTAGTCCAATTAGTAAGGAGGTAGGCTCCCTTTCCTTGTCAACGAAGGTTCGATACTTGTCAGGAGCGCCTCAAGAGTAAAATCCTAGAGTGCACCCTTAAGATCATCTGGGGATTAGACCCAAGTAAAGCCTAGGGATACCCCTAATCCGTATTACCATAAAGACATGCAATATCAATTTGAATTCATAATATAATCTAATTCATCAGTAGAAGTCCTTACCGCTATACAAGAGTCAATTGAATAGTGCTTCACATATAGATTTGGAACTCTGTTTGCCCTCCTCTTAAGCAATTCAAAGAATGCATTAACAACCTTTAAACATGGCAAAACAATAGTTATTACTTGTTTGCATGTAATTATGACATACTCTCACCAAAAATTAACACTTCCTAGATCATTTGTTTGCAAATACTTACCGAATCATCGATATAGTATTCTTGTCGAGATTCTTTGTCATGAGGGATAATGAGTAAAGGTGCTAACGATTTGCCATCCACATTCATCCCCTTATCTTGTACAACCAAATCTCTTTAAGAAATAAATTTTATAGGTAAGTTGCTATACTCACATTTTATGTCATACTAAAGCTAATAACTTACCCACTCAGCCTAGAACTTTCCCATCTCTTTATTTGTTTTGCTTCATCCTGTGTAAAAGGTGAGACCAAATATGCCTGAATATCCTGTAAAATCATGATCACATACCACAAGAATTACAAACAACGTCTAGATGTATTTTGCTAGTGTTTCTTTTTTTGAATAATATAAATACAAACCTTCTCAGACAATGTTCTGTGCTCTGTCATATTTATTTCTTCATGGCATGTTGTTTCCTCATCAAGCTTGAAAGAAGAGGATGTAACAAATTGACAATACGAATGAACATTACTCGTAAGTAATAGATAACATATTATCTGCAATAAGAATACAAATAACTTAAAATTATCATACAACTACCATCTTGTAGGACGCTTTGTCTGTGGCTTGATTGTTGGTCTCTTCAGCATTATATTTACTATGTTTATGGTTCTCTATCACATAACTTCCTTTCTCCTCCATCTTCCTTTTAGCCTATGATATGAAAACACATAAATGTAGTTCCAACCATACTTCTTTGTTATAATATGAATAAAAACTTTGACCAATCACCACTCATGTACCTACCGTAATTTGTACATTCACATGTTCTGTTTTGCCATCTGCACCAAAAAGTATGAAGGTTAAAACTATTATAGCTAGTTTCAAACAAAATTGTCTTGTTGCAACATTGCAAGTTGTGAGATCTACACTATAAGAGACAAAAAAACCAACCATACACCATTAATTCTACAAACCAATAAGCAATTAACTGAATACTACAACGAAAAAAATTCACAAAAGAAGCATATTTCTAATTCATATGTTATTAATTAAGTCTTACAAAAATATTATGCCAAAGTATATCCAGTCTGAGACAACCTTAATAAGAACCTGGTATGTCAAATTTAAACAGAGTTTATTGTAGAGTTAAAGTCTTTAGTTATTTTCATTTATGCATTTCTATAAATTTGGACGTCAGTGGACCCAAGTTAAGCATACTCTATTAAAGTTGTTCATATAAACTTGCATAAAAGTGAGGTAGCTGCTTCAAACAAATTCCCAGGGAAATTTATAAGCTGTAAGGAAGGTGTTTTGAGCTAGTATTAAACATATTTTGCATCTAAAACACATTACACCATTCATAGATTAAGTTATACCAATGCTGAATCTATTACTCAAAACTCCTACATCCTCAAATAGCGAGGTCGCGCCACCTAGAAAAAGAATAACTGAGGGTCCTATTTTCCTAATCATCATGGAACTGACATGAATTCCCCAGGTATGATATTTTTTCAATCAGATGATGCAGGAAAAAAAAATCGAAAATGCCACAAGCAAGATTATCCAAGTTATATGAAATTTTTGTTTGTTTGTTTTTTTTTCTTTAATAAATAGTTGAATACCACTGATAAAGACAGACTTTCTATATAAAAATGTTGAAATGGGGCAAAAATTGCAGTTGTGATTTCTTTTATGCTGCCCATAGGCCATATGTGCTTCTGAAACTGGTTAGGTTAACCATTCAGAATAATTTTTTGCAACTTTTAGCTATTAACAGATAACTTTAAACACGATGGTTACTGTAATTACATGCCAAAGGAAAGAAGTAAAAAAGCATTGCTACTTAAATCTTGCTAGAAGGCTGCAACCTAGCAATTTGAAGGACACAGAAGAATTAGGTTGTCTCTGATGCCAAAACAGATGCCCTGTTTGTGAATATTTCCTATCACTAGAATTCATATCATTCTAGGGAAGATCATGCCAGCTGAGGTATGTCTAAGTATTCTAAGTTGAATCTGAATGTTTAGATGTTGTTTGCTTCAAGCCTCTGCTTATGAAGAAGAGAGGAAAGAGAACAACATTCATCTTCACATTTCCCAGGACCCCACAGCCCCATCCCAAAACCCCGTAATTTGCTGGCCTGGTAAAATTTAAGGCTTTTGTCCTATTTTTACAGCCCTCGTTTTATACCCCTTCAATTATAAAGAAAGAACTCGGACAACCCCCAATCATAATTGAGAAAAAGACACTTTGACCCATATGTGAACCCTTAACATGGTTCTGGGTGCAGAAATAAAAATATAAGCAAATATTTTCATTTGAAACTTAAAGGTGAGACTTTATCTTTACACCCTTGAGTCATTGCTCCATTATTAGTTTATGAGAAGATCATAAACAAGTACGTAGGCTACACTTGTTTATGATAATAATAACTGGATTTCCAACTAAAATAGGTAACTGCTATTGCATATTACCTAACATAAATAAATAATACAGTTACTAAAAGTAGAAAAATTGAAAAACATAAGGCATAAACTTAGATGATAGCAAATTTAAATAGATTTAAACTGGACATACTTCTTTTAGGTGTCACTAACCAGTCCTGGCAGCAAATAAAGGCTTCTACGAAATTGGGACCCAAGCCACTATAGTTTAGATTTGTCACCAAAGTGTTGAAAGAAGAATCAAGTGGAACAACTGACACAGGAATCGCTAGGATATCACGAGCCATCCTACCAAGTGTAGGAAACTTTAGCTTATTGATGCGCCACCAACCTAGTACGTCAAAGAGTTCCCCATCAGCAACCAAAGGAAGTAAAGGCTCTTCTAAGTAACAATCAATATCTGACTTCCATGAAGCCACGTCATTAAAATTGCTTGCAGATGCATATCTACTGAAGGACTTCAGCATTGAATCATTAGCACTCTGTGTTGTTGAGCAACTAAAATCACTAAATATGGAAGCAGGTCTTGATAAATTGCTCCCTTCATTGGCATATTCATAGTAAACATCCATAAGAAGTTTATAAAATTTGCTCAACTGCATTTTACTATCACACTGATAAATCTCACCAAATGAAAACTCCACAAATCTGAATTTTAACCGTGGGTCAAGAACAGCTGCAATAGCAAAAATCAAATTATAGGTATTCCAATACTTCTCAAATTTCATCTTCATCAACTTCATACAAGGATAATTGCCTTTTTCCAACTGAAGAAGTTTCTTGTACATATCACAAAGCTTAGGAAAGTACAAATTTGGAGTGAGAGACTGAGCTCCCCCTGAACTACTTAAAGTGTCATAAAAACCCTTCAAAAACCTGTGCATTACTAGTGCCCTGTCCCATTCCTTCATTGATGGGTTTGTTCTGAAATTGCCATCATTTTGTTCTAGTTGACAAAACACTTCTCTTGATTCCAAAGCCCAATCAAGCATGTCAAAATTTGAATCTAACCTTAAAGGGCTATCATCCCTTAATTTCCCACCTTGCAACTTCACCTGATTTACTGCATCTTGAAATTTCAATCTCCCAAATGGTGTTTCATTGACATATTCAACCGATTTTCTTATATTTTGAAGTACATCATCTATCTCATATAATCCATCCTGAATGAGAGTGCAATTGATGTAACAACTGTCTGAAGGAAGGGAAATTTGGCCACTGAGACAATTTTCTTTCAAATGTTCAACTATATTGTCATTCAAAGGAAAATCATCCAGAACTATAGAGCATACTTTCTTGCGTATATTCCACTCTGAAACTGATTCCTGAATGATCGTACTAAGAGACTTAGCATCATAGATATAATCCAAAATTTTGAAGGCAAGGATTTTCTTCTTTAATTCCCAATCATCATCAACAAAGTTTGCTATCAAACAGCAATATACATTCTTTCTAAGGTTGTCCTTCAACAATCTAATTGTCAAACTGATATTACAGGCAAGCTGATCAAAATAGTGGCGAAGTTTCTCTTTTTCTTCCTCATAGATACCATATATGTTAGAAAGAATACTTTCTCGTGGTTGAATTTCAAACCTTGGCTGCAAATTATTCAAAAAATTTTTAAAAGATTCATCTTCAGCCATATCCAACACATATGGAAGCTTAATAATTAATTTTTCAAAATCAAGGCGACTCCTCTCTGGATCAAAAATTGGGCTTCCTTCCTTGGCACTTAGAATTGTTAAATCAGTACTTTGAGCTGGAAATTTCAGTTGCATGTCCTGATATTCACTTTTCTTAACCGGGCATCTGTCTAAATGATTTTTCAGATGTGTGGTTCCACTCTTGCTTGACCCCGTACAACTCTTATTACAATGTTTACATTTGGCCCACAGTGATCCATTTTCCCAAACCCTATCGAAGTGCTCCCAAACCATAGATTTTCTTTGTTTTGTTCGTGGGAGTATAGAAATATCCCTGTTTGCTTTCACATTCTCAGGGTCAATATCAGGAATAGGCTCAAAAATGTTGTCCTTTTTCTTGACACCCTTTCAGCAAGTAGACAAATCGAATTAGTAGTGCATATTAATGTCGTAATTCGAAAAAAAAATGTACTTGTTAAAGCTTCTTGCTAATTGAAACCTCAAGTCCTTTCAAGTACAAGTTAAAATTGTAAGTGCATTTTAAACTTCAAAGTACCTAAAGCTTCAAGTTGCATCACATAAAATTGAATTAAGCATTAATTAACATAATTGATTTATTGACAAACATTTACCAAATGTTGGTAGCTATCCTATCAATAACCTTTTCCCCAATTACAGAAGAGAGAGGGGACTATGGCATGTAATTGCTTCGAAATATATGTTCATAATAATAGCTTCTAAAATGATTTTAGTTTTTAGAGTAACTAATCTTTATTGGCAGTTAATTCAATAATTAAAGGTCAATAAACACCTAGTTTTCAAGTTTCAAAACAATTAGAGGGTTCTGTGGGGAAAATGAAAAATTAGAGCATAAAAATTTAATTAATACAACATTGACATGGAGAAATTAAGAGTAATCAATTGTCACATAGAGTATAGTGATTAAGAAATAAAAAAGGTGCTGGTCTCGAGGCCATTGTGTTTCCAAGTGTTTCCAAAGTTCATCATCATTAACTCTTTTGGTTGGGTATGTTAGAGGGACTTGTTCCACCTAGTGATGAAGTATGTTTAGGCACTAATAGAAAGCTTATCATAGATATATCTGGTAGGTTGATATTTCAAATCAATTCCTCCTAAAAAAAATTTGAAGTCATTAGATCCACGAGTGCTAATTTACGACTAAAAAATAATAATGTCAATCAAATATATAAGACGGGTATTTACCTGCTCATGTGGCTGTTGTGTTCCCACTTCACGATCATCCCTCGGTTCAGCAGTATTCAGTAGTCCATTTACGTTTAAATTAAACGAATGACTAATGGTTGAAGCTGGTGGAGTGCTTCTCGTAGGCATTAACACTTGTGTCACTACCGGAGTGCTTAAAATGGCTTCTTGAAGGAAATCAGTTCCACCAACAAGCAACGGACCAGTAGCTGGAGCTGGTGGAGAGCTTGCCATTGGCATTGCCACTTGTGTCACTACCGGAGTGTTTGAAATGGCTTCTTGCGGTAAACCGACTCCAATACTATCTTCTTGCAAGAGACTGACTCCAGTACCAACTAAATTACCAATAGTTGGAGCTGGTGGAGAGCTTCTCACAGGCATTGTCATTTGTGGAATGTTTGAAATGGTTGCTTCCCCAAAACCAAGTCCAGTACCATGAACTCTGGGTGTTACAAAAGTTTTCTTCACATTTTTCAAGTAAAAAAAGATACGGTCCTCCAACAACTTTTGTTCCTCAAAATTCTTCGTAGAGGAAGGAAGATAGAATTCTAGTACACAACTATCGCCACCAACAAAATTGTTCAGTAGATTGATTGCAACAACATCTCGATAACCAAATTTGCTTGCAGCATTGGCAAATGGATACTCAAGCATATCAAACTTTCTAATATCTGAAACAAAAAGGCTCTCATTTAATTGAAGTACTTTCCCTGCAATAGCTTGCCCTTCTAGAAACAGATGCGGCTGTCGTACACAAATCTCCATGAACTCCTTGGATGCACAATTATTATTAACATAACAAGCAGTACTTTGGATGGAAAAAGTATGTTTCTTCTGTAGATCTGGCGTGATTTCATTTTGGACGTGCTTTACATTAGCCCATAATGTCCATGTTAAAGCCAATGGCAACTCATATCTCAAACATATATCTTCGGATAGGTCATATATCTCAGCTAAAGCAGCAATCCGGTTCAATGAAAAACCCTGATAAAAATGAATTGTCAAAAATGTAATTTAGAAGTACATACTACCTTTTAAATAAACACTTTCCCAGATCTTGAAATATGCAATTTGTAAATTTCTTTATGCATGGCCTCCCTCTGTGGGATATTCACACTAATAATGTAAATCTTGGAGCAGTTTGAGACTTTCAGTCCTAGCAAAAATAATATAAGAAATGCTCAAAATGTGCAACCTCTAAGCAGATTTTGAACACCACAAATTTTTTTGTGGGAAAGAATGAAGTGAACTCATCACTTGGTGCCCACCAAATTTTCTCATCCCTCTTTTTTAATTCTCTGAACATGATGCGTATTAATAATACTAATTCAAATTGGAAGTACTGAACCTTAGACTTTTATTCAAACTCTCATCTCCATCTACTTAAGCTAAATTTAGGTAACTTATACTGTACTTTTATGTAATCTTACGTCTTCTCTTAGTACCAGACAAACTAGGACTATGTCTATTCCTTTTATCAATAAACCTTTTCTTTCTTCTTTTAATGTCAGAGTCAGAGAGAGTAAAATGACTTGAATCTAAAAATACTCAAGTCTCCATTCCTAACCACTAAAGAAATTAGAGGTGGCTTATTGCATGTTTATGAAAATCTTATGTTTTTTGGGACTAGAAAGAATCTGAAAAAGGCTTTTGCCCAAGTTAACCACAATTTTCCTTTTCATCGAAAGGTTTCTCATAAAATACTTTTTGCTAAGAAAATATTTTCTCTAGAACGTACGAAGCCTCATATGACTCAATCCTAATTTATTTTGCTTCAATAATATTTAATAACAAGAGTTAATTCTGCTTTCTATATTAACGTGAATGCAAAAAACTCTAAAGATAAACTATGTGTGAAGCATAATAAAGCAATGTTCATGGAATATTTTGTTTCATTATTTTTCAGCAAATAATCACAAAAGTTGAAGAACAATCACGAGATAATTGTATTACGTATTATAGGTGACATACATGCACACAGAATCTTCCGTTCTTTTTTTGGTATAATGCACACAGAATACCAGCAAAGGGTTCTTTGCCATCAGGAGAAGAAAATGAGAAGAAAAGAACAGGATGGAAATCGCAGTAATAAAGTACACTCATTTTCTGATAATGATAGTCCTGTCTCTGTCTTTATATTTCTAACTTTGGCTAAAACACTAAAAAAGCTACTAAACTATTCACTTTTCTTAAATAAGCCTTTTTAATTTGTATTTAAATAAGTCTTTATTTAAAATAAAAAATTGATTTATGTTAGGGAATTATTTAGGTACAAATTAAAGGTTAAAGGATTATTTGGATACCAATTAAAAGCTAAGGATTTAGTTGAATGCAAATTAAAAGTTAAGAACTTATTTAGATGTAATAAAAATATAAAGACTTACCTAAAAAAAGTAGTAAAGTTCAAAGACATTTTTGTTATTTTAGCCTCCAACTTTTCAATTATCAATATAGAAGAAAAAACATATTTCAACTTTGAATCTAACTATGAATTATAATGTAATTAAAAAAATGTTACTAGTTATGTAAGATCAAATCAAATTGAAAATTTAAGAGTAATTCTTGTTTAGGAGATTGTGAGAGAAAAAGATAATACCTCAGGAAAAACTTCAACAGTTGGGAATAGACCCTCGTCTGCAAAATTTTGATGGGAATCTGATATGGAAATTAATAAATTAGAGAAAAAAGATCAGCAATCTGAACAACTATAAAGCAAATTAGAAAGGCTTTATTTTCAAAACTAAACTTCATTACATTTCTACTTTGGAATTTAGAATTCAAGCTTATGATGTTTAAAACGAGCTTATTTAACTTAATAAACGAATGCAAACAAGCTTAATCGAGCTCCTTCACGAACTATTCAACAATCTTGGTTCATTTACGGTCTTAGTTGCATTGCATCTTTTCAATCACAGAGAAGATATTAATAAAAAAAAAAAAGGGAAACGACACCTTGAACAGAGTTTGAGCTGAAGTTATCCATCGACTTTGTGAATTTCCACACCGATATGACAACCGGTGGCGATTCCTCCAAATTAACAATCAAACACCCATTTTCCTCTTGGACATGGAGGCCAAATAACCCTGGCTTCTGGAGTGGAAATAGAAGAAACCCAGCCCTTTGCAGGCGGGATCCCCAAAACTGAGCCACAGTCTCGTGTGGATCCATTACGACCATCCCTTCACATCCGACACTGCTACAAATCCCTTGCCTATGATAGTCCAAAAGATCGCATGAACTGTTAGAAATTTTACCAAAAATGCAGGAGTAAGATTCAAATGAGCGCTCCAAGCGTTCGATGAAATTGAAGTCATTATCGCTAGCACTCTGTTCAACAATAATCACATTATCTGGCTTTATCTGCCTCAATCTTAACAACTCTCGCTCCATTGATCCTGACTCTGCAAGCAAACGGTGGAGTTTATATCTATAGCTGATGACCACAGCCTCATCCTCTGCTCTTCTGAATTCAAAAGACTCATCCAAATCACCCAAACTGTTGGCCTTAAACACTTGAAACTCCAACGTAACATTTACAAGCTTGGCTCTACAAGTGAGATTCCGACCTACCCCTCCGACGTCTATTGCATTTTTCAGCAACGGCGAGACTATAACACTTAAACGAAATGATCGGGGAAGGATGGCTTGCATTAAAACGGAGAACAGGTCACAATACCTGGCATCAACATCTGGTAACAACCAGTCACCATAACAGGTACCAATATCTGGTTGCAACATGGACAAGAAGTCAATGATGTGGACTTGCCTCTTTCCCCTTGTAGCAGTGCCGGTGACAAGTTGTAAAGTTCTGTAAAAGTTGGATCCAGGCATGAAGGAAGTTGGATAGGGAATGGTAGGACGCAGTCCATAAGCTCGGCGAACCAGAGCTTCAGCGAAGTATTTGATAAGCTTGCTTTTGTTTTCGTCGGTTTCCATGACAGCAAGATCCCATATACACGCCATGTAATGATCAGCAAGAATCAGGTTCCCATCTTGAAAAGCTTGAGCGCAGGCTTTTGATACTTGCAACACCCAAGAGCCCATCACTCTAAGCACTCGAAACTGAAAAGTGAAATTGGATTATGATTTATTCATAGAAAGTAGTCACCAATAAGACATATATTTGTACTTTTTCTTGTGAATGTTTGGTCAGTATTGGCGGCTTTTCTGTCACCAACACTGGCCCCTACATAGTCAACGCTTAACTCACACGAATAAGGATTTGAAACTAGAGAGACAAACACTGCTACTTTGGGTTCGGCTTATTCGATAATTCAAAACTTGAAATTTGATTATTGCGTTTATTTTTTATATTCAAATTGAATTTTAATTTAATTGATCCGATTGAATTTAGCTTAATAGATTGACTAAGTTTAAACAAATTTAAATATTTAAATTAAGTATTATATTTTTTATATTTATTTATATATTAAATATATTAAAAAATAAAATTTTAATTAAGATTTAATTTAATATTGTGGTTACGATTAAAAAAAAATATTGATTTTAAAAAAATTACGTTTAAAAAGTATTGTAAAAAATTATCGTGAAAGTTATGATTTAAGATTTTTAAATGTTTAACATTATTGTAAAAAAAATTATTGTGCAAAATAAAATGTTTACAAAAAATCTTGAAAAGGAAAAAATAGGTTTTATTTTCTCAAAAATAAATAATTTAGTAGGTATTTAGTTATTTTTATTTCAAATCATAAGTTTTAAACCACATCTGCACCCCCTAATTAGTTTTTTCAGTTGGTTCATTTTTAGTTGTTCAAAAATACTTTTAATAAAAATTATACTATATTTAATATTAGTTTTACATTCAAAAGCTGTGTTTTACAACCAAACATAATCCTATATGAGTTTTAAGTTTAATTAGATTTCCATTGAACTACATAAATTTAGTTTAATTCATCGCTCAAGTAACTTGAGCGATTAAATTCAATTTGACAATAAATGATACGAACTCATATATATTTTTTTCTTTTTAAAATCCAACTCAAATAAATTAAAAGTAGTTAAATTTATTTACACTTTTATTAAAGATGAGCTAAATTTGCATTCTCATGTTTATTCATCCTATGTTGCGTTGCTTATCATCATAGTTATAGTCATAGTGAAGATTATAATACTAGCTAGTTCTTTTTACCATTTGATTTTTTATTTTTTTTCCTAACATTTTTTTTCTTATTTTCAATTTTAAAAACTTTTCTCTAGCCCTTGCTTCTTGCAATTGTTTCTCCATCATTCTTCTTGTGTTCATGGCCAATCTGTGGTCATATTTCAACATAGATATAAAAATCATGATCCATATTTTGTATTTTAGGTTGGCAACTTATGCAATCTTTATATACTTTCTTTAATTATTATGTGTAAGGTATCAACCAATACAACTTTGTTAAAGTAGAATGAAAAAAAAAAACAAAAGAATCTTTTTGCAAGAAACTTTCAAGAAGCTTTCTTAAAGATAATAATTTCCTTAAAATATGCAAATCATTACTAAAAATGTTTTCCCCAAGATATAATGCCCAAATGAAAAAGAAAATTATTGCATTTCATCTTTTCTTTGAATACACATGAACCATGAAAAAAAAAAAGGGTAGGAAGATAAATTTTGTTTTTGATCTTTAAAAATTTGAAAAGTTGTAAGATTGTTTGAAAAATGAGTGGGTAGAAAGTATATATAAGCCCCAAAATGTGTCTCAAATAACTCTCCACGAATAAGCATTATTTGAATGAAGTGATACAACTATTGGAATGAAAATGCATGTTAAATAGACTTGGTTTTTTATTTTCCAACACGATTAGTTAATTGCCTTAGGCTTTTTCTTCATCTAGAATGTGGGCATTTGGATGTTCAAATAAAATATTCAAATGCTTGCTTTTTTATTTTCAAAATTGTAGTTATGAGATAGAGCAGTCAATTGCTTTTCAAAAGGAGTCGACTTATTTCTTAGATAGAATGCAAAAATTCGAATGCTTTCTTTTGAAAATTCAATTTCTCATTTATTGGGTTAGGTAGTTGATTACCCGTTAATTGCAGTTGATTGCTTTTCTAAATAGAATGTTCCAAATCATGAATAGTTACTAGGACAGTTAATTGTTAGGACAATCAACTACTCTTTTTTTACTTTATTCCAATGATTTTCCATACTTCCAAAACATCATTTTTTTTTTCAATACACATACATATTAAATGATTGTAAAACAATATTTTCACTTTAATAATCTTAAAAAAAACACTTCTTTGGTAATTTATACAATACCATATTTCATGTTTCTTTCTATATTCACACAAGCAAAGATTTAATATCTACACAAAACTATGAAAGGCCCATATTTTAGCTTTTTTCAAATCATTAATTCTATTCTTTTTCCTTAATGTGGTGTTTTTAAGAGTTTTGTCAGTTCTTGGTTGCGAATACGCATAGTAATTAGAGAGTTGATAATTGGATATCTAACATTATCTAACCCACTTGTACTAAGTTCGAATATCCTATAATTGGATAATTATTGAGTTCAATAGGAAGTTTACTACTTGTGTCGGTTTGTATTTGGGATTAGCAACATATGCAATCTTTATATACTTATTAAATTATTGTGTGTGAGGGTATCAACCAATGTATTGTGTGTTTTGAAAATCCCAACCTGCATATGATCACAGGTTTTTTTTTTCCTTTTTTTTATCTCCATTTATTTTATTAATTAATTAATTATTAATTATTTTTTTGAAAAGAATAAAGAAAAAGAAAATTTTGGTAATATTATTTATGATGTTTTTATTTATGATTTTTAATTGCATGATAATATATATATTATGGCATAATTATATCATTATTTTTTTCTTTTTTTGCATGATATATTATTATTGCACGATATAATATTATTTTGCGAGATAATTTTTATTTATTTTAATTTTTTTCTTTCGAGTTAAAAAAATAAGAGTTTTCAAAAATATTTTTTAATCATACCAAACTATTGAAATATTTGCATATGAAATTAAATCTTATCAAACTATTAGAAGATTTAATACATTTTTTAAAAATGATTTTCAAATAAAATCTCATCAAACTATTGGGAGATTTGCATTAAAGTAAATTTTACTAAATTATTGGAGGATTTTACTAATTATTTTTTAACAAAATTAAATGAATCAAATGATAGAGCCTTTTCAAAGTGAAACACTAATATTTATGAATACTTTTGAGGTGATAGAATTATCTTAAATTACTATCAAACTATTGGAGTATTTTTAAGATCAATTCTCAATATCAAATATTTTGGTATATCATAAATATGGTTAAGGCTTGTATAATTTGAAATCAAATTGGTACTATTCTTTGGATGGGCGCTGTGAGGGTACTATAACCTTTTTCATGTGTAACCATACTCCCAAATCTAAAATTTGATTTCATAGATTATAATATATTATTTAAAGGTATCTAAGTCAATCATAAGACTCCTCTCTAAATGGGTTAGATTCTGTCAGGTGACCAATCACACCTAATTAAAAAAAAATTGATAACGACTACTTTTAGTCTATGTCTAACTATATGTCCACGAATCTACATGTTATAATAGTTTGACGATTTCACTAGGGATATCGAGAGTTAGACTAGTAAATGATTTCTTATTATCCAAGACCAACTTAATAAGTTTAAGAAAATTTTTTTTTCTTTTCTTGTCTATGTTTTATTTATTTATTTATGTATTATTATTTGTCATACTTGTCATTCATTTGCATTTGCATAATATGGACTTTATACTTGAGTTATGTCCTTTATGAGGGAGTAAAGTACCTATGCCTTTGTGAGATTTTATGTTTTCACATGGGTTAGCGAAATACTCCCATTTAAATTGAACTCTTTTTGCTTGTAACCTATAATGGGCAAAGATTTGGGTACCTTACTAGTCTATAATGGACAATGATGTAAAGAACGATTTGAGAACCTTTTAGAAGTGATCTAAGGTACATATAGATAGCTTTATAAGCTTAACCTGTAGTAGAGCCCTATTTTTTTTACCTTTTAGATTGAATCCAAAATTTAGGATCATGTTGTTGTTGTGTTATATTTGCTTTATTATGTTTACTCTTTATTGTATATTGATAATTAACCAATTTCTTTGTCTTTCTTTTCTTACATATTCATAAACATATATATAGATTGCATATTATTCATGCTTTAAAGATATCTTCAACAAAAGCTTTCATGAAACCCACAGAACCTCAAGTTTGTGCCTTGTCTATGTTTTTCAAATATGAGTCACCTATTGATGTCAATATGGAGTTAGAAAAGAGACAATGAGAAGAATGAGATTGTTTACCATCCGACTATGTCTCTACTTTGCCTAAGAAAGTTCGATTGCTTCTTAAACAAAACAATTTGAAAGACCAGTCAAACATATAGCATAACATAGTTCCTTCAAAGTAGCAAGCTTTTTGTCAGAAGTTTGGGCATGTTGCACATTTATTATTAGGAAAAATTAAAAATTCACTCATTAAGGCTATGGTACAATTTTGGGATCATTCTTATCATTGTTTCATGTTCAATGAAGTTGATTTGGTACCAACTATAGAGGAATATTTGATTTTGGTGGGTATCTAACTCTAATATCTAAATAGTGTATATGTGAAGAAACAGAAGCCAGGATATCATAAAAAATTAGCTCATATTTTAGGGATAGAAAAAGAGCTCATAAATTCACAAGTCTAAGAAAAAAAAAAAGGGCATAAAGGTATTCTATGGGAATTTTTTGAGATTTCATTATTAAACATCTTGATAATGACCAAGGAATGAATGTGTTTACTTTGGCAATATATGGGATGGTGATCTTTCCCAAAGTCTTAGGCTTTATTGAGTTAAAAATGGTGGATTTGTTTGAGCAAATTGAAAGAAAATGTAATCTTTTATTGGTGATATGGGCATAAACTATCAAATCATTGAATTTTTGTAGACAGAATGATAAAGCACGTTTTTTAGGTTACACACCACTATTTTATTTGTGGATGAAGAGGCATTTTGAATCAAGAAGAGTACTTTTTCCAAACTCTATCTCTATAATCAAAATCTAGTTAAGAAATTTTGTGAGAGTGAATGGC